TAACAGTAGTTACTATTTGTAATGATAGTAATAATACCCATGCTCACAGCAATAATAGCAGTAGAGAGCATGAGCGTAGTGCCTGGACTCTGGATCAGGCAGTCTAGGGCCAGAGTTCCTCCTTTGTTACTCCTGGGAGGAGTCAATGAGCAAATCTATAGAAATACCCAGCAACTGTGCCAGGTATGTAGTCAGGGCTGAGCTGTTGCGCGGAATCGTAACAGACACCATAACAATAATGAACTCGTATGCTTTATTGGATTATCTCATTTAATTGCCAGGTCAACCTGACCCGGTAGGTACTGTTATCATTCCCATTCTGCAGATGAATACACTGAGGCTTGGGGTGGTTGAAGCCTCTTGTTCAGGGCCCCATGGTGACAGCCAGGACTTGAACCCACCCTGTCTGATTCTAGGACTCCAGGCTCACTCTGCTTTGTGCTGCTGCTGCCTCCCTGTATGGAGATGGCCTTCTCGGGAGAGGTGGTTTTGGGAGGGGTTGGCTGATGTCACCTTGGAGGATGGAGAAAGCAAGCAGATAAGCCATTGATGAAGGAAGTGCTCCCCATTCAGCTTCTGGTTGGGGCTGGAGCTCATCTGCAGGGTCCCCTCACTCTACCAAGACTCAGTGGGATCTAGAAGTATTCTGTCCTGTCATGAGGTTGGACACAGAGTCTGTATTCCTGCCTCAAGTTCAAGGGGCCTCAGTCATCAAGAGGTGCCTCTCATTTGCTTGGCATTTAAATAAGACTCCAGGATAGAGACCGCTAGTTTTGACAGGACATGCTTAATGTGAGGTTCTAAAACTGTGCATTCTGATGTGGTCCCTAGTGGCCCAAATCCAGGAATAACATCTAGGAAAGGTTAAATTAGAGACATGGTCATAGTTGTGGTGTGGTACTTTGAAAGGGGTGGGAGGTGGATAGAGGACCTCAGCGGAGTGCTGGCCTCCTGCTTCCTAGCTGTGTCATCGGGGGCAAGACATTTCACCATTCTGAGCCTGGTTCACCATCTGTCCATCCGTCCATCCATCATCCATCTATCCACCACCCACCCACTATCTATCTATGTATCCATTCACCCATTAACCCACTCATCCCCCCACATATCCTTCATCCATCCATAGATATCTGTCCATCCATCTACCCACCCACCCATCCACCCACATATCTATCTATCCATTCATCCATCTACCCACTTATCCATCCACTCACACACCCTCCATCCATCCACCCTTCTGTTTACCCACCCATTCATTGACCAACCATCCGTCTATCTGTACCCCTACCCATGAATCCATCCATCCATCCATCCATCCATCCATCCATCCCCCCTACCTACCAATCCACCCACTCTCCCTTCCACCCACCCACTAATCCATCCATCCATCCATCCATCTGCCCACCCATCCATACCCACCAATCCAGACACCCATCCATCCATACACTGAATAAGCATTCAGGGAATTCCCTAGTGAGTTAAGAACTGTACCAGATGCTGGGTCCCCTAATTAAGACATTGCCATGAAAATAATCTATTTAATCATCAACAGAAAACTAAATCACGGACCTTCATATATAGAATGCTGTGTGTGCAGCTGTGAAGAATGTAGCAGATCTGTAGGAATGGATAGGGAATACGGTCAAGAGGAAAATAAACATGGCAGAAGTATGTATAGTATGGTATCACCTGTGTGAAAAAGAAAAGGTGGTTTCTTTAAACACACGTGTACTTGGGTATGCCTAGAGAATTTCTAGAAGGACACCTAAGGAATGAGTGTCAGAGGTTGCCTCTGGGGAAGGAGGCTGGGGAGTGAGGGGTGGCAGGGAAACATACAGCACTCTTCCATTTCAGGTTGTTTGAATTTTTTTCTTTTAGTGTGTTACCTATTTAAAATTGAAAAAAAAAAAAAAAGAAACGTCTGTGTAATGATATGGAAAAACAAGAGAACAGCAAATTGCAATGTCATGGATGACACATATGTGATTAAGATGTATAGGGGACTGTGGGAGCAGAGAGAGGCACCTAACTCAACCTGGGACAATCCAGGAAGGCTTCTCAGAAGAGGTGATGCCTGAGATGAGGCTCTCAGGCTGAGTGGGGGTTAAGGGAGAATGCCTGGTGAGGGCCTTCCTGCCAGAAGCAAGGGAAAGGCCTAACAGTAAGGTTCAGCATGGCTGGGGCAAATCCATCGATGTGGTAGGAAGTGTGGAATTTGTCGGAAGTGCGACAGGGAGCCATGGACAGGTTTTAAGAGAAGGAGTGACGGAGTCAGGCACGTGTGAAGTCGATCCCAACTGTGAGGCTAGAGGCGAGGAGACCACTGGGGAGGCCAGGAGAGAGGTGATGATGGCCTGGACTAAGGCAGACGTTGAGGGCCGGAGAGGGAGGGACTCAGGAGCTCTTTGTGGAGATGGGAGGTGACAACTCACAGGACCGTGAGCATCCACTGACATAATCTGGGCAACTGATTTATTTACACAGTGCACCGTGGCTCTCACCCATGGGTGCATGTTGGAAACTCCTGGGGAGCTTTTAAAAAAAAAATACCAGTGCCCAGGCTCCACCTTTAGGACATCAGAGTTGATGGGGCATCGGGGTGAAACCAGGCTCCCGGATGACTCTGATGCACAGGGCCCCGGTGCTCGGTGGCGAGTTGGCCACCTGAATGCACTGGGGCTCATCCTGGGTTGGCTGGTCTTCATGGGAATTCTCCCGGCCCAGGCGAGCGTCTGGTGTGCTGTAGGAATCTTCGGTGCCTTCTGCCAGGAGGAGACCAGGAAGGAGAAGCAGGGCCTTTGGCTTGAGTCTGTTTACATGACGTCCACCTCAGAGGGTTGTCGTGAGACTCAACGGATGACAAACTGACAAACGTAAGGGCCAAGGGCCGGCGTGGAGGGTTTCCTTAGAGACGCGAAGACCTAGCGTTAAGCTCCTGGAAGGGTATGTGGTGCCCTCGTGTGGCGAAAACTAGATTTGTCCGGGGCCAGGAGGGTCTTGAATGTAAGTTTAAAAAAAAATTCCTCTCTTTTAGCTGCACAAACACCTATTTTGAGGTTTGAGCTGTGCTGGTGATCCTGCTGTGGCTTTTTGGGAGCAGCTCAGGACGTGTAGAATTCTGGTTCAAGTCTCAGGGGACGTTACCCGGGACATAAATTTTTTTTTTTTTTTTTTAATTACAAAGAAAAGCGATGTGGAATTGCAGTGTGGCCACATATAATAAGGAAGGGAACGGGACCAGCTTTGCTTACAGGGATGGCGAATTAAACAGTAGAATGTGCCACACGGGACATTTTGACATGGCTCTACCCGGTGGCCCTAATTTGAGATTCTTATAAAGGCCCCGCTGTGTGGAGGGAATGGACTTTGAAGTTGTGTGCCCTCCTCCAAGACTCAGAGGACTTTTTGTTTTCCTTTTTTTTTTTTTTTAACTCTTGAAGAGTTTGAAGGAGATTTGAGATGGCTCACTGCTACTTTAAGATCACGTTTGTTGCTAGAAAATTGGACCCCTTTTAGTGGGATTTTGGCTGATGCAGGACTGTGGACACCTCAAAATGATACCCACAGCTCTGGGGGCAGACAAGGGTCAGGAGGGACACTGCGGAGAATGTTATTCATGCCTGAGCCAGGGATGGGTGTTTTAAAAACCTCAGGTCATGCACATGTGCAGACAGGTCCGGATGAACTCCTCAGAAAGCACACCTGTGCAGGGCATGACAGAGGATGGACAGAGGAAGTTCCCTCCCTGTGACTGGGCTCCTCCACCACTACCCAGAACCACCCAGACCGCCAGAGGTCAGAGGCATTAGAATCACCTGCCAAGGGGCACCTGAGGGGCTCAGTTGGCTAAACGTCTGACCTTGGCTCAGGTCATGATCTCACAGTTCTTGGGTTCGAGCCTTACATCGGGCTCTGTGCTGACAACTCAGAACCTGGCGCCTGCTTCCGACTGTTTCTCTCTCTGCCCCTCACCTGGCTGCACTCTTGTCTCTCTCTCAAAAATAAGCATTAGAAAACAAAACAAAACAAAAAAATCACCTGTCGGGATCTAAAGTGGAATGCTGGCCCTAGAAATCTGAATTTTCAACTCATCCATTGGGTGTTTTTTTTATTTACTTATTTTGAGAGAAAGTGTGTGAGTGGGGAGGGGCAATGAGAGGGAGAGAGAATCCCAGGCAGGCTTGCACTGTCAGCATGGAGCCCGATGGAGGGCTTGAGCCCACAAACCATATCATGACCTGAGCCAAAATCTAGAGTCAGATGCCCAACAGACTGAGCCACCCAGGCACCCTTTTTAAAAAATGTTTTAAATTTTTAATTAAAAAAAAATTTTTTTTTAATGTTTTATTTATTTCTGAGAGAGAGAGACAGTGTGAGCAGGGGAGGGTCAGAGAGAGAGGGAGACACAGAATCCGAAGGAGGCCCCAAGCTCCGAGATAGCTGTCAGCCAGAGCCTGACGCAGGGCTCGAACCCATGAACCGAAGTCAGACACTTAACCGACTGAGCCACCCAGGCGCCACCCCCCTGCCCCCGTTTTTTTTTTTTTTTTTAATCACAGTGTCAGTCTTTAGTATGAAATCTGAATTCCATCAGTGATCTATACATACCCAGATCAATCTCTTGGGTCAAAGTTGTGGCTGAATTCATTTTTAAAGTCAAGGTTCCAAGCCGCTGGGACAGTTCTCTGAAACTTTACCAGCATTTCCTCCCAAAGAGAGGAATCCCTACTATAAAGACCTGTGTGAATTCATTTATTATTGTTATTTCAATGTGGTTTATTTATCTATTATTTTGCAAAGAACCACGAACAGAGATGGCCCTGTCCTCTCCTTCACCCCATTCCACAGAATGTGACACACATCTGGCCATCTCTGTCTGTGGCCTTCACTGAGAGAGGTGCACATGTTGTCACGGTCCAGGGCCTGGGAGCCCCAGGGGGCTTGGGGCGGGATCTGGGGGTGAGCGAGGGCCCCAGGAGACAAGACTTACCAGAGAAAAACATGGTCTTACATTTTTTATTTTATATATATATATATGCAAATCTGTCTTATGTACAGTAATTGGCTCTATCGAGGCCTTCTACTGGTGATCTCCCCCAGGCAGGTTCAGGTGAGAAGAGGCATCCGTGCACTTCGCGGACTGCCACACGGAGACTGCATTCCTGATTTCGGTTTTGAGGCCATGCGCACAATTCAAAATATACACAAACCGGGTTAAGGCAATAAAAGTAGGCTGAAAGAAAGCACGGGATCTGGAACGAGTAAAGTGTGTATTTTGCTTGCATTATAGCCACAATGTGACCAGCGAGTGCTGTGCATGTGTCCAAGCTCTTTTACTGTAGTGTGAGGGGCTTCTGAGCATCTACGATAGCTGCGTGGTGGGTGGGCAAACAGCGTATGTGGCCTGGTGGACACTTTGCCGAGGGCTCACTTCTTCTCCGCCTCTCCTTTCTTGGGTTCTTGTTTCAGTTTGTAATCAGCCAGGGCGGCCTTGATTGCGTCTTCAGCCAGCACTGGAAGCAGCACAAGGAAAGACAAGCTAAGTTTGTAGGCTCAACAGAGAGAGGCTTAGGAAGCACATCTTTAAGAGCGGGAGGGCTGTGGTGTGGGGAAGGGCCGGCCAGGATGCCGGGGGACGAGCAAGCCTGGAGAGCCGACCAGCTGTTCCCCGAGCCGGGCTGCTCCTGTCTGGTGGCTTTGGAGACAGACTGGGGTTTAAACACCGGGGATTCTAGGCGAGTCCTTCGGCCTGCTGGAATGACCTCTCTTCTAGAAGACACTGTTTTCTTGCTGGGATAGCACGAGGACTTAGGCATCAGAGGGACACAAAACGTGGTCTCGTGCCCACGTGGTAGTCAGGAACAAGGGTGGTGGACGGTGGCTGAGCCAGCTGGCGGAACTTAGGTCCTGCCAATAGGTGGCATCTGCCACGTTACTCTCTAGGGACCCCAGGTGTGAACACTTTTACTCTGGAGTCAGAATGACAAGTGAGGCTACAGGGGGGAAGAGAAAGGAAGTTTTGGGATGACAGCAGGAAGCGGCCAGCGGCAGAATGGCAACTAGAGGCTGTGGGACCCGAGGAGGCCGAAGGAGGAGGCCGGGGGTTTCGTGACGCGTGTGAAAATGCTTGCAACCTGTGGCCTTTATTCCCAGGTCCTTGAAAGGGCAGCTCAGGTGGAAGGAGCTGCAGTCTCAGCAGACTTCCTGAGGACTGCACGTCCCAGCCCTCGGGTCCCCAGTGAGGCTTACCCTGGCAAGAGGCCTGGCTCCCTGCTGACTTTTAACTAATTTGGTCAGTAAACCTCCATCAGTAAGTGAGGGCTGCTATTTCTCATTCTCTCCTTCCCGTAGAAGGTTGAGAGAGGATGGAAAGAGCTTTAGATTGAAGACAGAGACTGAACGGAAAGCCAAGTAGAGGTGTTAAGGCCTCTGGGCTTTCTCTTAGGACAGCGGAGAGGGGGCTACTGCACACGTGGACTTGGTCGTCCCGTACACAGATGTGGCCCTGACAGGAACAGCACCTGGGAAGGACGCGACAACATACACACGACAGACGGGATCAGGGCAGAAGCTGACTTTTCACCTTTACTGTCTGAACTTGACTCCAACGGGGTGGGAACAGCACACATTCTGATATAAAGATCGGGGCGTACGTCCTGGCCTTCCCAGCTAGAAGCCGTGTGACTGGGGCGCTTTGACTTGAGCCCCGCCTCCCTGGTCCGTGAGAGGGAGACGTAATGACCTGCAGTGGACTAGCAGACTAGCTGTGCTCAGCACGACGCCCAGGGCACACCACCTCCTGGAAGACTCTTCTGGGGATGCGGCCATGACACACGGGGCTTTGACCTGCTGCAGGTCGTCGAGACGGACTCTGTGATGAACATGGGCTCGCCATTACCCTGGCACAAATGCCAGCTGGTACCATCACAAACTTCCAAGTGTCCCCGCCTGCTGGTATTTGGGAACAGAGACTTACTGGAGCAGTGCAGTTTCACGGGGGGCAGGCAGAGCTCCTTGGCGATGTCTGTGTTCTTGATGGTCAGGGCCTCCTCCACCTGAGAGGCATGCGAAAGGCCAACAGCGTTAGCGAGGCTCCAGCTTACAGAGTAGGCAATAAAAAAAGGAAGGTCAAAGAGGCCCTCAGGACAGGGTGGTGGGGAGTGATTTCCCTTTAACAGCCCCAAAGGCCCCCTGCTTGTGTGTCAGAGCTGCAGCTGGTGCTCTCGAGGCTGGAGTAAGCACACCCCAGTGCTTGGCCGGGGTCAGCAAGGCTGACACAGACACTTCCACAAGCCAGCCAGTGAGAAATCCCTCAGGGGTCTGCTGGAGGCCGGTGACACGAGTCTTTTTTTTTTTTTTTTTTTTTTAAAGGGAGGGATTTCCTATTGTGGTTCTGTGAATATCGGTTTTACTGAAGTCCTTATACCAAATGTTCAAAGAAAACCCCTTCCACCAGAGCGGTCGGAGAGATGGCAGATAGGCCAGTGGCACAGACAGGTGTGGGGGTGAGCGCTCTCTTTAGGCTCATCCTCTGCCTAAAAGAAGATCTGCCTCCTTGAAACAGACTGCAAAGGATACCTAGGTTTGGTCGAGTGCCCAAGGCCATGTGAGGCAGGCCTACGTGGAATGGAGCCCTGCTGCCTTAAGGAATGCCAGGTTTCCCCATCTGGCCCCCAGCTTCCCAGTTCTGCTGTCTTCAACGATTATGCTTCACATTCTGTTCCTAGGAACTCAGATGGGAGGCCCTTAAGGTCCTCCACTTTCTGATCACAACTCAAAGGCCAGATCCTGGGAGCACAGGTGCCTTGTCTCATTTCCTGTTTCCCTGAGGACAGTTCTTAACCAGTCACTTCAGAGCCACCTCCTGACAGAACAGGTTCGGTGTGTGCTTGCCAGAGGAGCTGCTGGCCAGAAGGCCTTGGGCTCCAGGAAGCAGGTGGCATGTGGCCTGGCACTCCACGCTGCCGCAGAGCCGCCTGCTCCCCAAGCACACCCCTCCGTGACTCAGCTCCCTGAACTCCATCCCTTGGGGCTACAAAGATAAGCCCTGCGTTCTGGCTTTTCTGAGAGGTTTTAATGACTGGATTTTAGGAACTCCAGCTCTTCACTGGGTTTGGGACCTTCCACCTCTGTAGCTGCTGGGAAAGAGCAGAGAAAAGGATGGAAAAGATGTTCGAGCCTCTCTCCTTCCCACCCTCCGAGGACCCACGGACCAGCCACCGGGATCACTGTTTGGATTTATTTCTTCACTTTGCCTCCATCTTCGCTGTTTTTGATTCTTTAATCCCTCTGTTAGCACAGGCTAGTTTGTTATTTCATGAATCCTTACAAGCCACCCACAACCCTTCCTGAAACAAGATGGAAGGAAATAAACAAGGACACAAACCACAATATAACCTCTCCCACCCTTAAACTCCTAGGAAATTATAATCAGCAACTTTGGAGAAAAGCCTCAGATTTCTTTGTTGTTCTTTCTGTTAGTGGGGGAGGTGAAGATCTTTTTTCTATGTAATTAGAAACAAAACTAAACCATCAAAACCCCTGAACAAATAAAAATTATCAACCTCCCTCCCAATAAAATATACCTTAATAAAATTATGCATAATTTTCAACATGGAGAAGAATTTAATCAAAATCCAAGTAGGAGAAATTTTAAAAATTAGAATATTTTGAAAAAAATCAGCGACTCCCCGCCCCCCACAAGACCCTTCCCTTAATCGAGAGATAGGTTTGTCGGGAATGTGATGTGATTCTCTCAGTTTGCAGGCAACCTTACCGTCTTCCCTTTGACCCATTCGGTGGCTAGTGAGCTGGAGGCAATGGCAGAACCACAGCCAAACGTTTTAAACCTGGCATCCACAATCTTCCCCTGTTCATCTACTTGAATCTAAAAAAAAGAGATAGGAGTTAAGCAGGGATTCCTGGTGCTGCCCTGTAGAACGTGGTTTATGGGGGTTCACTGGGGCTCTCCCCAAGGGCATTGGTCTCCATTTCCACACCTTTAAGTTCTGGCATTAATTACTAAATTTGCTTTGTTGCAAAGGGCTCAGTGGTGAAAAGTTTAAGCACAGGAACAACTATCGGAATTATACGTGCCTACCTGGTAAAGATAAGCCCCCCTCCTCCCTCCTGTTTTTTGTTTGTTTTTGTTTTGTAACCCTAGCTTGCTTTTTAGCTATGACGTTCTGCTGCTCCTGGCTCTAGTTCAACCTGCGTTTTTAAACACTGGGAGAGTCTGCAATAAAGTTCTCTGGTTAATGCTTTTTTAGTTTGGCATCAAATGACATCTAGTGGTTCCTTCCTGCCTCGTTTTTCCAATACAGGCCTGAAGACCTCTGGCAAGCAGCCTACTCACTCCCCAAGATGAAGATGTAGACAGAGCTACAGTTTACCCAGAGTGCCAGTCACTGCCTTTGTGCTGTCTCCCACTTAGGAGAGGGCTGATCTACGGCATTTCCTGTCTCACTGGTTTTCGCTAACTCAACAGCTGTGGTTTTCCTTTGATCGGTAAAATTCACAAAACTGTCTACCAAGCTGCAGCTGGAACTTAAGCCGAGACAGTGAGTAGAAAGGGGAGACCAGCTTACTGTCAGAAAGAGTCGGCGTCGTGTACTAGGAGGCAGAACTAAGATTCAGTTCCTACTCTAATGATTGGTGACATCAGCCCATCCCATCATGTCACAGGAATCCAGATGGAGCCCAAATGAAATGCTGTACGTGCAAATGGTTTGTGAACTATCATTACCATTAAAGATGAAAACCAGTGGTACCTGTAATTTCATCACATCACCGCAGGCCGGCGCTCCCACCAATCCAGTCCCAACATTCTTTGCGGTCTTGTCAAGAGACCCCACGTTCCTAGGATTTTCATAATGATCAACAACCTGAAATGGGAAGGTTAAGAGAATACATGATCACTCTTTCTTGTTACTGCCCCCGCCCCCGATCTGATGGTAAGCTCCTTGAGGTCAGCAAGCTGAACCTGACAGTCACTCACTAAATATCAAACTTCACTGGGGCCGGAAGGCCTACACTTATGTCCGTGAGACTTATAACCCCGTCTTTTTGTAGCTCTTCTCCAACTACCTTCAGAGAGTTGAGGCGCTGGAGAAAAATCAGCAAAATCATGTCATAATTCCACAGAGTTTTTGATCACCAGTCTTTGGAATCAAATAGCATTTGTTATTTCCAAATAAAATCCATCTTCAAAGGGCAATGATTACTATTAACAATTCTAAAATTAAGTATGGCCCGGCAATTGAAGGACCGTCCAGAAGCCTCAAGGAGAATGTTCCAGAAGAAACAAGGCTGTGGAATGCATTGGTGAGTGATCAAATGACAACAGTTCTAACTGTACCTCAAGGCCCTGAAATCACGCTGGCGGAGCAGCGCACCCTCGTGGTAGAAAGGCGGCTAGCCCGCGTTGGTGGAGCCTGTACTGTCAACAAAACCCACCCCTGGGTGGGGGAGGAGCGAAGGCCAAGGCCGTAGCGCTGAAGCCAGAACCGAGTGGGATCTATTCAAACTGGCACACAGAAGGCTTTAATATAACCTTGGGGCTTGTTACCAGTTCATCCTAAATCTCTCGATCTTCCCAGTTTTCTTTCCCCACTTACCCGACCACGGATTTTGACTCCAAGCCTAAGGACCTACAAAATAGTACCTAAACCTGGCCTTTTTGCCCCATGCTGCTGTACTGCGTTCTTCAGGTAATCCTTTCCCGAGCGGGAGAGTTTCCTGTCTAGGAGACTCCACGCCCTCCGAAGGCAAGGGCTACAAACTACGCGCCTATCCCTGCTCCCTCAGCTCCGCTCCTTTCCGCCCGCCAAAAAAGAAGACAAAAATTAAAACATCGTAGCTGTTGATTACGAGTCTGACCCCACTCGAAGGCTAGGGGGTCCCACAGCAGTAACTGCACCACAAATGAGCTCCATGAGTTGGACCCCATGCCGGGGACTCCACAAGCACTAGCTTGTGTAGATGAATGCTAAGACCTTATTTTACAAAAGGGGAAAACAGGCTCGGCGCAGAGCAGTGACTTGCCCAAGGTCACCTGGCCAGGGCGACAGCCTGGCTGGAGCCGGAGCCCGCGCCAGGGTGTGTGTCCATCCCTGAAGTCAGGCTGGCAGATCGTAACAGAGCCCTCCGAACTGGGCGGGTGGGTTTTAAGGCTGGTATGCACGAAAGCGCAGCCAGCGGCGGGGCCCGCGGGCAGCGGGTGGTTTTATTTCAGGCGCAGGCAGTCACCGTGCGGCAAACGAAAGCTCGTCCAGGCAGAGCCGCGCGAGGGGAACGGCCCCTACCCGGCTGCAGTGGGGGCTCCCAGGGCCGCGCACAGCCCGGCAACCGCTCCTCTCCAGGCCGGGCCTCCGCCGGGCGCCGACAGACCCGAGTCTCCTCGGCGGTCCTCGTCCTCCCGCCCCCTTGCCGGTGCGGGCCCAGCGCACCCCCTCGTCCGCCCCTACCTTCTTGTGATACAGCCGGGCCGGAGCCGACAATTCCCGGGCGGGCAGGCGCGGGCTTCGGAGCAGCAGGGCGGACGCTGCCCGCCTCAGACGGCCCGCTCCAGCCGCCGCCATCTTGCGGGCTTGCGCCTGCGCAGGCCGAGCGCGAGACTGAGAGGAGGGGCGTGCCCGCGAGTCGGCTCTTCGCTGGGAGCGCGCACCCTTTTACGCCACCGCGACTTCGCGCTTGCGTCCTTCCTTCTGTGCGCATGTCCCCGTTTGGCCCCGCCTTGACCACGCCCCTCCGGGGGTGGGCGGGACGCGAAGCGAAAGGTTTGAAGGTGGAGGGATTGTTCTTCCCGTGGGGTTGCGGCTCTGAGGGGCTCCTGAAGCTGCCCTGCGGGACCCAAGAATCACAACGCTGCCCAGCGTTCACAAAGGCTGCCGCCGGAGTGCTGCGCAGTGGGTCAACCGGTCTGCTTCTCTTAACCCCATTTTTCAGCTTAGGGAGTTGAAGGTCAGAGAGGTTTAGTAACTCGTCCAAGGTTGCCCAGAGAGACTAATTTGGGAAACTCGGACAACCCTGATTCCGCTCCTTCCTGGCTGTGTGACCCTAGGAAAATGACATCATCTCTTTACACCTTGATCCTGGCTTTTGTACTCATTCAAGGATAATTCATTCATCGAGCAGATAGGTGTTGAGTACCTACCATGTGGCAAGTCACTGTACTAGACTTTGGGGATTCAAGGGAAAGAAAAAAACATATTACTTGCTTACATAATTAACCTTGCTAGTGAGGGAGAAAGGCAACAAATAAACACCGATGTTTTCCTATACAAAAATTGAGGAGCCTAAGTAACGCTGCTTTGAAATTAAGGCCTCCATTAAGAGCAACCTCGGGCTGCACGCAGCCCCAGGTCCAGGAAAAGCCTCAGATTGCTCAAGGCTGAAGCCACCCTCAGACCACCCTCAGATCAGCCAATCAAAAGAAGGTTACATTCCTGTGGTCTGAGTCAGGGACTGGGGACTATGGATAACTAGTTTGTACAAACTAGCCGATCATTCACCGCTTGCCTAAGCCCCACATGGGCCCTTTGAACTCACCTCATAATTGGTCATTTTCAAAGGATTCTCAAAGGTCATGATTGGGTTACTTCATGATTGGGAAGTAACGGACACCTCACAGATACTGAATGGTCAAAACCGTTACCATGGGTGCTGTACAATTATGATTGGTACTTATGTGATGATGCTATACGTACAATGTGTGTGCTGTAACACCCCTGTCCCTTAACCCATAAAAACCCTGCTTGCTACTGTTCGGGGTCTCACCCTGCTGCCACTGTGGCGGTTGACAGGTGAGCCCCTGCTCGGGCTTGTAATAAAGGCCCTTTTGTATTTGCATTGGTGTTGGCTCCTTGGTGGTCTCTGGGGATTTGCGATTCAGGCACAGCAAAATGAGCTTGAGGAAGCGAACACGCCATGCCCTGATTTTTTAAAAAGCACAGATATATTTATGTCTGCATCAATTTCTCTTTTCATAAAGTAGCAAACTGACATAATTTATATGACAATGCTTGGAAATGAAGTTTCTAGAGAAGTGCTTAGTAATGTAATTTATTAATCTTGGTTTGCAGAATATGATCTTATAAAACCAGAAAACTCACACGTGTATTTAACACCTACGAGGCACCAGGTTATTACATAAAAGGAGGAATCTCCCATTTGGGAAATGGGTTTGTCTCCTAAACGGTGCAATCGATCCTTCCCCTAAAAACTTGTTTTCTCTACGTTTGAGGCCCAGTTGCCGCAGAGACTGAAACAAAGCACAGGTCCGGCTAGGGGCATTCATTCCTAGATGTTTTGACCTTCTCAAGATGGCACCAAACCCTTCCTTCAATCATTACTCCATGACGAACACGAGCTGTGTTAGGGAGTTTTTCCTCTATGAGGAATTTTACACGTATGTAAATGTATAACCGCTTTTTAAAACCCGTGATTGTGTTCTGATGGAGATGAAGAATGGAAGCGACCAACAAGATTAAGAGCAGCACAGCCACCAAGTTTATTAGGGTGAGAATGAAACAAAGGGACTCCTGTGACCTGGAAGGGGCTCCTTGCAGAGGCCACTAAATCGTGGGAGAAGGAGGGCTTATAGGAATTACAGCAGCAGGACCTTTTGAGGGGAAGTAACTGTTCAGCTAATGAACCAAGATATGGTCCCCGCTGGATTGTTCCAGGAAGTGGGTGTTTTTGTAAGCTCAGGTGCTTTCTGCCCTATTGATGTTATCAAGGAGCCATTTATTCCTATCTGCCCAAGGTCATCTGTCTCCTGTCACAGTCCCCCCTCAGAGGAGGTGACTCCAACTGCCCTTGAGGTACGCGGGTGATGACCTCTCTGACTTCTTCATGCTGAGATGGGGCATGGAGATGAGTGGCAGCTAGAGTCCCTGCCTGTGGGGTCTGTCTCATGGCCCCCAGTGAACGTCTGATGGCACTTCCATTCCTGGGTGCATTGACAGACTATTTGGAGGTATAAGGACTCTAGGGGAGAAGAAACAAACCGGGTGGGTGCGTTGAGAATACAAGGTCCAAAGAGGAGCATTAAGGAAAGGGTTAATAAGGGGGCCATTTGTGGCCGGAGTCAGCACAACAGTTGAGCCCTTAGGGAGCTCCACCAATTGGAAAGATCCTCTATCCAGGTGACCAAACTGTTGGACGAATCAAGATGTCCTGTGTTATTGATGTAGACGCAGTGTTCTTCCTTAAGGAAAGCACAGGATCCTCCTGCACCTGAGGTTAGCAAGTCTTGGGCCCGTCAGCATTTTATTAAAACATTTTTTTTCAAATGTTTATTCATTTTTGAGAGAGAGAGAGAGAGCAAGCATGAGCGAGGGATGGGGAGAGAGAGGGAGACACAGCATCTGAAGCAGGCTCCAGGCTCTGAGCTGTCAGCACAGAGCCCAATGTGGGGCTCAAACCCATGAACTATGAGATCATGACCTAAGCTGAAGTCGGATGCGGAGCGACTAGGCCACCCAGGCGCCTCAATGGGGCCATCGGTTTTGAGGTAGGACTCCCACCAAGGAGTTCATCTGTTGTGTGTTTGTGTCTCCTCATTAGTCTCCCTCTATGCCTTGGCCAGCTGTGCTGAGAGGTGTACAGAGGTATCTCCTAGGGTTGTTCCAGATGCTCCCCACAATCCAGTGAACAAAGGGGACCAGAAGGGGAGCAATGGCCGCCCTTCGGACCCTCATCAAGGACCACTGAGAACACGCGCACGCTGCTGGAGCCAGGGGCATACTCAGCTGCAGGAGCTGTGAAAGAGAGGGAGCATCGCCCTCTCCATAGGGCAGCCGGGCGACGTACGCCCTGGTTCCGCAGAACAAACCCTCTTCCACCTGGAGGTTTAGGTGTAAGCGGGAAGTAAGGAGGGTTTGGGGTCTACTTGTTGAAGTGGAGGTCCCTGACAATCTGCTCCCAATTAGGGGGGCGGGGCGTCTAAGTTGGGTCTCTCTCTTATGGTGGACACAAAGGAGCTAGAGGGATATGTTCTGAGGAAGGATTACTGGGAAGAGAGGAGTACCCCGATGGTGGGACTTAAATTTGCTGAATTATAGGGACGCCTGGGTGGCTCAGTTGGTTAAGTGTCTGACTTCGGCTCAGGTCTGATCTCACGGTTCGTGGGTTCGAGCCCCGCATCAGGCTCTGTGCTGACAGCTAGCTCAGAGCCTGAAGCCTGTCTTCAGATTCTGTGTCTCCCTCTCTCTGACCCTCCCCTGCTTGCTCACTCGCGCTCTCTCTCTGAAATAAATAAAAAACATTGGAAAAAAAAATTTGCTGAATTACAAGAGATGGTAGACCTTCTGACTGCACAGGAGTTGCCTGAGATGCAAAAGGAGGTCGAGCGCTTTGGGGGATCTTGGGCTCGGAGGAAACGCTGAGGAACAGGTGCTATTTGTCACTTTTCGTTGGGAAGGGTTCCAGGTCTCCTCCGCAGGGGTGTAGTAACTTGGGATGTGAGGTTACACGGAGATGTGGGGAGAATGCCTATGAATAGACCCGTGTGTGGGGTGCAAGTTGAATTTTCGAAGCAGGTGGGGAAAACGGCACTGGCATTAAGATGGAGTTGGTCCAACCAGGCGAGGGTTAGGGTACCACTGGACCAAGGCGGGTTGCTCCTTTTCGTTTCCGTATCCTCCTTCCAGGCTCTGAAGAACAGCCATTCCGTGTGAGCGCTGGGGAAAGGACTAGTAGAGAAGGCGAAGCGTGTGACGGTGTAATCGGCACGTAGCCACACAGACGCAGGGGGGCTGGTGCCGGAGTCCCACTCCGACCGGGCCCAGGGGTCCCTGAAGGATGGACGGTGTCGCGAGGGAGGGATGAGAGAGGCACGGGATTCTTTCTGGTCACCAGCCAAGCCTCCCCTAAGTCCCATGCATCGGGCACCTGGGTCCCCGCCGCATCCACGCTCCCAACTCCGTTGGCGCGCAGCTGGGAGGAGACCCAGGGAACCTGTCACCCGTGGCCTGGAGGATGGCAGCGCGCGATTCGCTCTTAACTCTTAACTGGCTGCCAGGTGCCCATTGTTTGAGAGTTCGTGTAGGAGAGGAAAATAGGGTGCCGGCTGCTCCTTACTTACGGTTCGAGAGGCGTGGAGATCTCCGAGGAGTCTCCAAAGCTGTGACCGCTTTTTAAAACCCGGATTGTGTTCTGAAGAATGGAACCAAAAAAGTTAAGAGCAGCACAGGCACCCGGTTTATTAGGGGCAGAATGAAACAAAGAGACGCCCGCTACCCGGGAGGGGCTCCTTCAGGAGGAGGCCACTAGGGCGCACGGGGGGGGGGGGGGGGGGGGGGGGGGGGGGGGGGGGGGGGGAGGGCTTCTACGGGTTACAGTGGCGGGACCTTTTCAGGGGGAGTAACCGTGCAGCTGCTGAACCAGGATCCGGTCCCCGGCGGATTGTCACAGGAAGTGGGTGTCTCAGACGGTCCTGTACTTTCTGCCCTGTTGTTTTTAACAAGGAGCCACTTATTCTTATCTGCCCAAGGCCAGGCTGTCTCCTGTCTCAAAAGAAATACAAAATTCCGAGACTTTCCGGTTAGCCGAGGCTCTCAAGTGTCCCCTTCGGTGGCCCGAGAGCGGGGTTTTGCTCAGGCGCCCGCCGCGGGCAGCTTCTTCCTCCGCGGGTCCTCGGCCGCCGAGAGAAGCCCCGGGAGTCACTGAGAGCGCAAGATGGCGACGGCGGCCGCAACCTCGGCTTCGGAAGCGGAGGCCGAGCCCAAGGCCGGGCCCACCGCGGAGGGCGAGGAAGATGAGGCTAAGGCGGCTAGGACGAGGAGGAAGGTGTTATCGCGGGCCGTGGCCGCTGCGACGTACAAGGCCGTGGGGCCGGGGTGGGACCAGCAGGAGGAAGGCGTGAGCGAGAGCGATGGGGACGAGGAGTACGCCATGGCTTCCTCCGCGGAGAGCTCCCCCGGGGAGTACGAATGGGAGTACGACGAGGAGGAGGAGAAGAACCAGCTGGAGATCGAGCGGCTCGAGGAGCAGGTGTGTCCGTGGCTGGGCGGCGGGCTCCTTCCCTCAACTTCCCAGGCGCCGGCCCTTCTCCCCGGTCCCCGGCGGCAGTAAAGCTGCCAGGGCCGCACACCCGCTGTTAATCACCGCAGCTCGCGTCGTTTGGGCGCTTACTGCGTGCAGGTGTTTTGCGAGTGTCATCCCCTTGAACTCTCGCAGCGACTCAGTCAAGGAAGTAGTGTATTCCCCGTTTTACCGGGCGGAGGTTGAGGCCCCTTGTGGAGGGAATTCTCTTGCAGCAGATTACACTTCTGCAAGTGGCGGCCAGGCCTTGAACTTTGAAACGACTCCAGAGCTCCTAGTCTGAACCACAGCGTTAAACCATGGTCTGCATTAGCAATAAAACGTTATTCATAAGAGAGTTGCTTTCGCTTTTTTTTTTTTTCCTCCCCGTAGGGTTGGCCATAATGATGAACTACAGTATGATAGACAGAGTGACGACTTAGGCGGTGGTAATGGAAATGGGAAGGTAGAGATTTCAGCATCTGGGGGCTGAGGCCCCAGTTGTAACTCTTCCAAGCTTATGTGTGCCTAGGCAGATTTCTTGTCTGAGCCTGTGCTTTCTCACCTGCAAATTGGGAGGAACAATCAATTCCTGCATCATGTAGTTGTCCTGACAGTAATTAAAGGCCCAGTGCCTGGCACCTAATGTTAACGGGATCTCTAATTTCTAACTCCTGTGTGATCCAGGGTCCCAGGCAGAAATAGGTGGCGCACTCGAATTAAGATAATTTGAGAAAAGGACAGTAAAGGAACTGATGTGTTCATAGACGTATGAGCTGAGAAACCGGGAGTGAAGGTTCAGTACCTCGGGTTTCCTTAACAGCGGGACCATTAGGTTTGAAGAGATGAGGCGGGGAAACTGGGACCAGTAAGGTGGAGAGGGCACCTGAGAGTCCATGAGAGCCCTTTAGTCAGGGCGAGCTACCTAGTTTTCCAACAGGAATCGGGGTGGGAGAAGGAATATTGTGACCTCTCTTCCTCCCTCCAAACATCTGCTGGTGCCTTTGGCTGGCAGAGCCTGCTGGAAGCAAGAGGGCCGGAGACCCCATGGGTGGACCCACGGGACCCACGGTAGGGCACAGAACAGGGAGGAGAAGGTGGAGTAGAATTGGAAGGGCAGACAGAAATCCAACACGTTCTCGTTTTAGTGACGAGTAAACAGGCTCGATGAATAGCGAAATGATTTGCTCGAAGTCACTCCGAAGGGGATTTGAACTTGCCCGGGTTGTCTGCGGGCCAGTTGCCGCATCTGCGTGAAATGACTTGGTGGTACAAAGTTGTTAACCGACGTTACTCACTTAAACCGTGCTGGCTGTGGGATTCCTTACGATGGCCTCTCTGGCAGTGATATTTTTGTTGCAAAACAAAAATAGGTGCATTGGTATCCCTTGTTCCATTCATCATCACACCTGAACGTCAAGGGAACGAGTTGGTGTAGGCAAATGGTTACATGTTCTGCTTTTTATAAATAAGCATTCTGGTGTGCGTTCAGTCTCTTGCTCATTCAGAAAATGCCAGGCTGACTATATCCCTGTCCTGATGGAAGTCTGTCCTTCTGACTTCTAGCCTCCGGCTTTTCACTGAGCCGTTAGCTCACTCGGATCTTACTCTTCTGTGAGGATCTTCCTCTTCTGTGAGATAATAGGATTATCGGTTTTAGCAGAAAGACAGGCTTGGAAGCGGATGAAGTCCTTGAGGCGGGGAAGCATCTAGCTAGAGAGGCGGAGGAGTCAGAGCAGAGATCTCCTGGCTGCTGGTGCCCTCTCTCTGCTGCCCTGCCTCAGGCCACAGAGGGCGGGATGGAGCACAGAAGGGGACCACAGAGGCTGGGCTCTGGCAAGTGATGTGAATTGAAGAGCCTCTAGCTTTATCTTGCTCTCTGCAGGGTCGAGGGATTGATTTTTCCCATTTTTCCAAACCTTCCTCCCACCTCATCCTCATCCCATAGCCTCTAGTTCCTGCTGCCACTGCTCTCACGTGCAGTGTAATGATGAAGAGCTTCTAGACAGGCCTGTGAAAAACTCAACCTTGTCAGATTTGCGAATTCCAGTTCTCATCCCTGAGTGTGTTTTGTAAAAGCTTCAAGTTAGTCATGTCTGTTCGTGTAACAAAAGCAAAGATTTCCCATTATCTGTGTTTGTGTCCTGAAACTAAAAGTGGTGCCTTATAAGTTATTCCAGCTCTCTGGTCCTGCGGTGGCCCTGGGTGGGGGTGGGGAGGGGGAGGTTTAAGACAAGGTGCCCCCCTCTCTGAGCTGTGGTGGAGCTTAAGTGGCCTGCCGCTTAGAAAGCTCGCGGCCCATTTGATGCACAGTAGGTGCTGTGCCGAGGGCTGCTCCGTTCTTTCCTTGCCCTCCCCGTGGTTGCAGTGGTTGTGTGTTTTGGACTAGGCCTTCGGTCATTCCTCCAGCCCTATTCCGGGTCCAGGTTGTGCTTGTAGAGGGAGCCAGGAAACCAACACGTCATTTTCTGCATTAGCTGAGCCGCCTCTTTCTTGAAAGCATCCTTTGTCGTCAGTGGTGCTCTGGGACCAGAATAGACCAGTATATGTGCTCCCTCGTCAGTGCTGAGTGACCTCTGTGGAAATGTCTCTTAAATGCATCTCCGTATGCGTTTCCTGCACACACTTCTGGAACCCTTCTTCGTGTATAGGATCTTCATTACTTGGGCCTAAAAGTCAAAAATTTGGACCAAAGACCGTCTTAGAGGCAGTTTCTCCACTTCACTGACTTCTATTCCTTTTTCTTCTGGCCTCCACGTGATATTCAGGTAAGGGGCGCGTGTCTAGACAGACATTACTCACGATGACTAACAAGGACTGTCCCACCCCTCTTCATGCTCCCAAACCACTCTCAGACCCAGGTGAGTTGAGCGCAGCGGGTGACAGGGAGCGCTTTTGCCCCTTCTTTAACAAGGAAAGTACACCATGCACAAACTTCACGTCTTCAGTTAGTGTTACTTGAGTGCACCCTTGAGCGTCCTTTGTGACGCATCATTGTGTCACGACAGCCTGTGTGCGAAGCGGAGGGTCACTTTGGCTCCTTCCTGGTCCAAATGAGGGGATCCAGGGGCGCTTAGGCCGCTCGTGGCCTGACCTAGTCCAGTCCTTCCTCAGCCCTTCATGTAATCTTGGGATGGGCTCTCCTTGTTACATTTTATATATCACGGGCAGGAGAACGTTGCCAAAAGTCTTAAGACTTAAAAAAAGTTACAGGTCGCAGTCTTCCCTGTTATTGAGCCTTTATTGTCCTTTCGCGAGTGACCTGATACATGCACGGCAGTTCACATCTGTAAGTTGTGAAGTGTGGCAAGTGAATCCAGCTTACCCCACCCGTGGCCTGAGAGGTAGAGCTTCGGTGCTGTTGCAGGTACCGCTGGCCTTTGCCCTGTTCCGTTGCCCTGCCGCTCCTCCTGCAACCCGGGTCACTACTTTCTTGAATCTGCTGGGCTTCCTTCCCCCTTAAAACATGTAGTTTTATCCCCTACAGATGCATCCCTAAGTAATCTGTTGTCCACTTTTGTTCATTTTTGAACTTCTAAAAAATATACCATGCCGTATGCAACCTTTCGGGACTGCTTTCCACTCAGCATTGGGGTTCCTAAGATTCATCTGTGTTGCAGCTGCAGTTAATTCATTTTGGCTCCTGTGGATTTAGCATCAACATTGGGCGAGTGTCCCACAATTTATCAGTTCTTTTGGCATTTGGATTGCTTACAGTTTTTTCTTTTCTTTTTTTGTCCTCGTACCAACAAGCCACAGGGAACATTGTTACTGATGAAACATGCTCTTATCCAGCATGTTTAAGAAATTCTCTTGAGTCAGTGTTTTTCAAACTGGGGTCATGGCTCTGGGTCATGAATTCATTTTAATGGATGCATTGAGTACCACTTTGTCACAGGTTTTCTGTGTATGTGGGTCTGACTCTAGGTGTTCTCTTTGTTCCCTTGGTCCGTTTGTCAGTCCTATGTCAGTTCCACGGTCTAACTCATTGGTGCTGAGACGTGGTGAGACAAGTTCTCCCATGTGTCTTTTAGTGTGTCAGCTCATATCTAGATTACGGAGCATATTGTCTGAGTGTTAGTTGAATGAAGGAGAGGGAAATATTTATCGCTGAAATGCTGCGGTAGGTGTTGGAAGAGAAGAAACTCGTGTTTTAAAAAAATTTAATGTTTTATTTATTTCTTTTTTTAAAATTTTTTATTTTTAAATGTTTTTATTTATTTCTGAGAGGGACAGACAGCATGAGTAGGGGAGGGTCAGAGAGAGAGGGAGACACAGAATCTAAAGCAGGCTCCAGGCTCTGAGCCAGCCGTCAGCATAGAGCCTGATGCGGGGCTCGAACCCACGGACCGTGAGATCATGACCTGAGCCGAAGTTGGACGCTTAACCGACTGAGCCACCCAGGCGTCTTGACACTAGTGTTTTTGTACAGAGTTAAGGTAACCCCATAAAAAAAGAAAGCTTTTTTATTTTTTTTAATGTTTTTATTTATTTCTAGGAGAGAGAGAGAGCGTGAGCAGGAGAGGGTCAGAGAGAGAGGGAGTGACAGACTCTGAAACAGGCTCCAGGCTCTGAGCTGGCAGTCAGCACAGAGCCTGACGCGGGGCTCAAACCCACGAACCGCAAGATCATGACCTAAGCGAAAGTCGGATGCTTAACCGACTAAGCCACCCAGGCGCCCCAAAAGAAAGCTTTTTTAAAAAGTTACATTTTCATTTTCACAGACTTCTGTGCAGCTGTAAGAAATAATACAGAGCTCTTGTGTACCCTTTACCAGTTTCTCCCTTTACCAGGTACCCTTCTGTAAAACTGACTATAGTATTGACCACCCTGATGTCGACACAGTTGACACATAGATCAGTTTTGTCACGACAGGGGTCCTTTTTTTTTTTTTTTTTTTTTTGCTACAGTTCCTGACCCCTGGCAACCACTAATCTGTTCCCTGCTTCTATAGTATTGTCATCTCGGGGGTGTTATGTAAATGGAATCATGTAGTATGTAATCTTTTTGGATTAGCTTTTCTTATTCAGCATAATTCCCTTAAAATTCATCTGAGTTGAATATTGAATGAAGTATATTCACTTCCTTTTTCTGGCTGCATAGTATTCCACGGTGTAGTGCACCATGGGTACTTTAACCATTCACCATCGAAGGACGTCTGGGTTGTTTCCAGGGTTGGCTAATAGGAATAAAGCTGTTAGGAACAAGTTTTGTGTGAACATGGGTTTTGTTTCTCCGGAAAAATACCCATGGTGCGCTTGCTGGGTGACACGGCAATTAAGTGCTGAGTTTTGTAAGAAACGACTCAACTGGTTTCCAGAGCTGCTGTTCACATTTGTCATTCCCAGCAGCAATGCATAAGTGATCCGTTTTGTTTTGTTTTGTTTTTTGTTGGTTTGTTTTTTGCATCTTCTCCAGCATTTGGTGTTGTCACTATTTTTTATTTTAGTCTTTCTTTCAGTTAGGTGTATAATATTTCATTGTGATTTTACTTTGCATTTCCCTGACAGCTAATGATCTGGGCGCCTATTCATGTGCACTTATTTGCTATCTGTGTATCCTCTTTGGATATACATGTCAGTTCATGTCTTTTGCCCATTTTCTAATTGGATTGCTTGTTTTATACTGTTGAATTTATTTTTTTAAGTTTATTTATTTGAGAGAGAGAGCACACACGTGAGTGGGGAGGGGCCAGAGACAGAAGAGAGAGAAAGAATCCTCAGCAGGATCCTGATGTGGGGCTTGAACTCATGAACTATGAGATTGTTACCTGAACCAAAATTAGGAGTCAGATGCTCAATGGACAGAGCCACAAAGGCACCCCTTTACTGTCGAATTTAGAGTTACATCGTTTTTGTTTTTGTTTTTTTTTAGGTTTATTTACTTGTTTTGAGAGACAGAATTCCCAAGCAGGCTTTGCCGTGTCAGCACTGAGCCTGATGTGGGCCTTGAACTCGGGAACCGTGAGATGATGACCTGAGTGGAAGTCAAGAGTCTTAACCAACTGAGCCAACCAGGGGCCCCTAGAGTTCTATCTTTTAGATACGAGTCCTTTATTACCTAGGTGGTTTGTACATATTTTTTTTTAAGTCTATAGCTTGTGTTTGTAGTCTCTTAATGGAGTCTTTTTTAGAGCAAAAAGTTTAAATTTTGATGAGGGCCAACTTGCTGAGAGTTTTTATTGTGAATGGTTGTTGGATTTTGTCAGGTGCATTTTCTGTGCCAGTGGCTATCATAAGTTTTGTTTAGCCTGTTGATTTTGTGGATTATAGTGATTGATTTTCAAAGACTGAACTAGCCTTGCATACCTGGAACAAATTGTTTAGTCAGGGTGTATAATTCTTTTTATACATTGATTTTAGTTCTCTTGGGTTTTCCTCTCCACACTGCATTGACCTTATCCTTATTTTAATTTACTGTATTTTCATTTTAATTCAGTCCTGTGTATTTTTAAATTTTCCTTGATACTTCCTCTTTGATCCGTGGATTATTTAAAAATGTATCACTTAGTTTCCAAATGTCTAAAGATTTCCCTGTTTTTACTGATTTTTAATTTTATTCTATTATGATCAGAAAACATACTCTATATGATTTCAGGTTTTAAAAATATTGTTGAGCTATGGGGGAGGGGCAAGATGGCAGAGAAGTAAGGAGCTCCGTACTTGCACTTGCGCCCATACATCACACGGAAAAGATCTGAAGCCGTTGGAAACCTTACGAAACCTGAGAGATTGGGAGAAAAAGGACGCAGAATCCACTGAGAAAGCCTTCTAACGGCTGCCTCAAGAAACAAGCCAGAGTACACAAGGTGGAGAGTCCCAAATATCACTACGAATAGGAAAATAAAATAACCAAGGTCCCAACAAGAGAGACCGAGACACCATTCAAAAAACACTCTCTGAAAGGAAAGGCCCTGGACAAAGAGTCTTCTTGGATACAGCAGCGCTCATAGCTACAGAGAGCATAACAGTCTTTAAAACTAACAAGAGCTGGGAGGCTCACTAAAATGACAAAACGAAAGAGCTCTCCTCCAAAAAAATTGTTGAGGTTTGTCTTATGGCCCATGATTTAGTCTCAGTGAATGTTCCATGGGCCCTTGAGGGGGGAAAAAGAGTTATATTCTGTGCTCTTGGATGGAGTGTTCTATATATGTTAACTGGATCATGTTGGTTAGTGGTGCTGAGTTCTGTGTTCTTGGTGTCCAGTACTACTTTTAGTTGCTAAAGTGGAGGATGTTGAAGTCACCGTTATAATTGTGGACGTGTCTCTTAGCTCAGTCTTACTTAATCTGTTTTGAAGGGTCTGTTGTTTGTTTTATCTTCCTGGTGGGTTGATAAGCATGCATGGATCTGGCGAGATGGGCAGAGGGGGAGAAGGATCTTAAACAGGTTCTGCACTAAGCTAACGCACTAACTTGCAACCTTGGGATCATGACCTGAGCCCACATCAAGAGTCATATGCTCAACTGACTGAGCCAGCAGGTGCCCCTGTAATGTCCCTTCTTATCCTTGGTAATTTTCTCTCAAGTCTGCTCTATGTGGTATTAATATAGCCACTTCTGCTTTTTTTGGACTAATGTTTACATGGTATATCTTTTTCCATCCTTTTACGTCCAGCCTGCCTATGTCCTTGAATTTGTTGTGTTCTTATCTGCTCTGCATTCTTTGCCTATTAATACGTATATTGAGACCATTAAGATAGGTATTGATGTTAGGTCTAATGCCTGACGTTATTCTGTTTGTTTCCTCCGTTTTCTGTATCTCTATTCTTGCCTTCCTGTGAGTTACTTAAACATCTTTTAGGATTCCATCTTGATTTATTTGTATTGATTTTTAGCGTATCGCTTTGTATGGTTTCTTAGTGGTTGCCTTGGGTATGATAGTGTATTTAACCTACATGGTATTTGTCCTACCAATGAGTGAAATGTGAAAACATTGCCATTTAAGTCCCTTTTACCTTACCCTACTTTTAAATATCATTGTTTTGGGTATCAGATGGTCTTGAAGTTTTTATTTCCGTTATCACATCCTATTTAGAAAACACATGAGAAGGACCAGCCATGATACTTGGGCGTATTTCTGCACTTTCTGTTCTTTCTTCCTTCCTAGCGCTCCAAGATTAATCATTTCCCTTTGTTAGCTTTAAGAATAAGTCTGCTAGTGACACATTCTTTTAGTTTTCTGTTGTCTCAGATGTCTGATAGCTATTTCAGCAATTTTGATTTGTTTTAACTTTTATTTTGAAAAGTTTCAAATATAAAAATAAGTCTCTGTACCCATCAGTCCCCTCCAACAGGTGGTGCCATTCTTGTTCCTCGCAGTAGAGATTTTCATTTTTGGTGTTCTTGTTTAGTAGAAGAAAGAGCTCTTCCTACATACGTGGCATGTGCTAAAGCATGTTATTAAGCACCTTTTAAAATCCTTGCAAGAGGGGCACCTGGCTGGTTCAGTCGGTGGAGCCTGTGACTCTTGATCTTGGGGTTGTGAGTTCGAGCCCCATGGTGGGCGTAGAGATTACTTAAAAAAAGCAAGAACTGGGGCGCCTGGGTGGCTTAGTCGGTTAAGCATCTGACTTTCGCTTAGGTCATGATCTCACGGTTTGTGGGTTCGAGCCCCGCGTCGGGCTCTGTGCTGACTGCCAGCTCAGAGCCTGGAGCCTGTTTCAGAGTCTGTGTCTCCCTCTCTCTCCGACCCTTCCCTGCTCACACTGTCTCTCTCTCTCTCCTAGAAATAAATAAAAATATTTTAAAAANCACGGTTTGTGGGTTCGAGCCCCGCGTCGGGCTCTGTGCTGACTGCCAGCTCAGAGCCTGGAGCCTGTTTCAGAGTCTGTGTCTCCCTCTCTCTCCGACCCTCCCCTACTCACGCTGTCTCTCTCTCTCCTAGAAATAAATAAAAATATTTAAAAAAAAAAAAAAAAAAAAGCAAGAACTTTATGGACTAGACCATAGCGGGATCCCCAGGTTACAGGTGAAAAACTGGAGGCTTAGAAGAATTAATAAGTTGCCTAAGGTCACACTTGGTATTTATTTATTTGTTTCATCAGAATGTTCCTGTATTTCAGAGAGAACCCAACTGCTGTCTGATAGAGACTGTAACAGATTGGGAGAGCTGTGTGTTACTAGAGAAAGCCCCTTTTGTTGATTTTCTTCCTCTTCCTGGGGGTAAATGTTGCCTTGCTGTCTCCTTGGCTCTCCCAGGTAGCACATTTATTTTGTTTGTAACAGACACGTGCATCGTAACCAGCGGTGGAAAAAATGCTAAGCTATTTTGATGATGGCATATTAAATTTCCCCTCTTGGTGTTCTCCTTTTAGCTCTCTATCAACGTCTATGACTACAACTGCCACGTGGACCTGATCCGGCTGCTCCGGCTGGAGGGCGAGCTCACCAAAGTGAGGATGGCTCGCCAGAAGATGAGTGAGATCTTCCCTTTGACCGAAGGTAACGCTTCAGCGCTCAGACTGCTTCGATAAAAACAGAAGTTTGGGATATCCATTCTTGTTTCAGTGGGATGCGTGCATTATAGAACGTTGAATGTGGTGGCCGTCCAGTGTAAAAAGAAGACCCATCAGCCAGTGTCAGGGATTTCCTGTTTCTCATCTTGTTTGTTCTGAAACATAGTCGTGAGCATGCAGTGCTGACTCACGTTTCGGATCCTGATTTTTTTTTTTCAACCCTACATCGTGATGAAAACTTTTTTGTAATTAAAATTTTTCTGCATCTTTCTATTTCCCATTCCAGAATTTATGTATTTAATCCTATTAAACTTTTATAAACAGTTTTTAACCATTTATTTATTTATTTTTGAGATTGCATGAGCTGGGGAGGGGAGAGAGAGGGGAGAGAAATCCCGAGCAGTCTCTGTGCTGTCGCCACAGAGCCCAATGTGGGGCTTGAACTCATGAATCGAACCGTGAGATCATGATCTGAGCTGAAATCAAGAGTCTGACGCTTAACCGACTGAGCCACCCAGGTGCCCCTTATAAACAGTTTTTAATGTGAATGTTTCACATCTTGTTTGTTACAGGATTGTTGGGCATTTAGGTTATTTATACTTATTTATTTGAAACATAATTAAACTGTACATCTTTGTGGTTCAGTCTTCACAAGCATTCATAATGGATCTTGTAGGGAGGAGCCGGAAAGCACCTGTCCCAGCTCCAGCTCTCCCTGCCCCGGAAGTATAACCTCTGAGTATGGAAGCTGAAATCAGATTGCCGAGGTTCATTCCAGGCTGTACGTCTTACTAGCTGTGTGACCTCAAGTGAATTATGTAAACGTTTTAAGACTCAGTTTTCCAGCAGTAAAATGGGGATGATGGTAGTTTCTGTCTCATAGTACATGGATTGGATGAGGTATTCTGTGTACAGTACTTAACAGGTGCCTTAGCCTGTCGTAAATGCTTAGATAGATGCAATTATTACTATTATTACTGTCAGCTACAGGATTTTGACAAAAGATTAACTTATCTTTAACCAAGATGTATATATGTAAGTACTTTGCAAAGTATAAAATGCCAGATGGGTGGATAGTCTGTTTTTAATTATCTGATCTTATTTGGAAGCAGAAACCTTCTATGTGGTTGGTACAGGCTTCAAGAATGGAATGTGTGTGAACTGTTCCAGGCTGGGTAGGATGGGTGAAATATTTGTGTGCTGGTGACTTGTGGTAAAGTCCCTGCTTTCGTCCTGCCCTTGGGTGAAGGAGATGGTGGCATAGGATACGCTCTTGTCTTGCAGAGCTCTGGCTGGAGTGGCTGCATGATGAGATCAGCATGGCTCTGGACGGCCTGGACAGAGAGCACGTGTACGACCTCTTCGAGAAAGCTGTGAAGGATTACATTTGTAAGTTCCCCGTGCGCTTCTCCGAGGCATCTGCGGTGGCCTCTGGCGTCAGCCCCTCCTTCCCTGGGTTGTATTGTGACGCGTCGCTACTCAGAAAGGGGAGCGTTAGTCTAGCAGTTAGAAAGATTTGAGTTTTTCTCACTATTCTCACTGTCTATGGTTTTCATTTGAGGGAATTTGGTTTTAAAATCCAAGGAGAAGAGTATTTGTAGTAAGGGAATGAAAATATTTGCACCCAGAATTTTTCTGGCAGGGAGAACTTATGTGGTATTTCCAGATGATAAAGATTTCCTTTTACACACTGAATGAGTTTTTTAGATTGTTTTGGACAGGATGTTTTATTTATGTATTTATTTTTTATTAAAAATATTTTTTAATGTTTATTTGCTTTTGAGAGAGAGAAAGGATGTGCATGCATGCAGGAGTCAGGGAGGGGCAGAGAGAGAGAGAGACGCGCGCTTGCGTGCACACACACGCACACACACACAGAATCCAATACAGGCTCCAGGCTCTGAGCTGTCAGCACGGAGCCCAACGGTGGGCTCAAACTTGGGAACGGCAAGATCATGACCTAGGCTGAAGTCGGATGCTTAAACTGACTAAGCCACCTATGTGCCCCCATTTTTTTTTTTAAGTTTTTATTTATTTTGAGAGAGGGTGTGCATGTGCATGAGAGAGAATCCCAAGTGGAGCAGAGGGAGAGTCCCTAGCAAGCTCCATGGGGACAGCGCAGAGCCATGAGCTTGGAGTCAGGAGCTGTGAGATCATGACCTGAACCAAAACCAAGAGTCAGAGACTTAACTGACTGAGCCACCTGGCCGCCCCTGCTTTTCTTTTTTTTAATATTAAAAAAAACTAAAAAATGTTTAAATTTTAAAATAATTATAGATTTATAAGAAAATAGTACAGAGAGGGCCTGTACTTATTTCAGCCTGCTTTCCCCAATATCTCATAACTAGTACAAAATCAAATTGACCTTAGTGCAGTGTGCGTGTGTGCTTCTGTGAACTTTATTCCCATGTGCAAATTCTGGTAACCACCACTGCAGTCGAGATGAGGAACCTTCCATCAGCACAGAGCTCTGCCTGGTCTGCTCATGTGGACGTTTTGTCAGCACAAGTGGAGTGTAGACACCTTATATCCTCTTAGGTTTCTTTACCCTCCCCTGTTGGTAGTATGATTCTCTAAATATTTTCATTACCTACATTTAGGACACATCAGACAGTACTGTGGACAAAATGTTCTTTAAAAACATTTTTAAAAATCTCCCCCTTTTAAAAATTTATTTTATTTTATAGAAAGTACGAGTAGGGGAGACGAGCAAAGGGAGAGAGAGAATCTTAAGCAGGCTCCACGCTCAGGGCAGAGCCCGATGTGGAGCTCTATCCCTCGACCCTGGGATCATGACCTAAGACGAAATCAAGAGTCACAACCAACTGAGCCGTCCAGGCGCCCCCACGTTTCCCTGTGTTAATTTAAACATCCTTCTTCCATGTGTGGTTTTCCCCACTCCCCACCATGGGCATTTCCCTTGTGAGAAGCACGGGTGCTTGGCAAGAGACCGCCCTGAGGGACCTGCATGCACCTTGACTTGCCAGAAAGAATTCATCCAGTTTTATAATCCGCATACTGAAAATTACAGGTGTTTTGTGAAGGTGAAATTCTACCATATGCGCTTCTAGAAGCTGCACTGTGTCTCTGCTCTGATGCCGCCGCCTGTGGCTTCTTAGAATCCCGTGACTGTTCTGAAGGCATGGTGTTCTGTTTTCTGATGATCCTGTTACTCCTCTGTTGAGGTCTCCGGGTCGTCCTTAGCAGCACCTGTTCGTTTTCTCCAAGGATCTTTGGTCTCTGCCTGGACCATCATGTTTTTAGGTCCTTCGTGGTTTGCAGTCATCTGCCTGTCAGGCCTCCACTGCCTCTTAGTGCTGATGTCAGCGCACCTTCCTGTTCCCCAACTGCTTCAGGGCTGTTGGGGGTCAGGAAGCCAGCTAACTGTGCTTCTTGGATTATGTCTGTCTGTCTGTCTCTGTCTCCTTCTCTCTCTTTTAAATGTTTTATTTAATTTTGAGAGCAAGGGTTAGAGAGAGGGAAACAGAGGATCTGAAGGGGGCTCTGTGCTGACAGCAGTGAGCCCATTGTGGGGCTTGAACTCATAGACTGTGAGATCATTACCTGAGCCACAATTGGACGCCCAACTGGTACCCCAGATTATGTCTCTTAAAGTAGTTTTGAATGGGGGCCTAAGGGGCTCTTGTGTGGTTTTCAGGAGCATTAGAGCATGGAAGTGGCATCACTTGTTTTGTCAATGTTCAGAAACCACTGTGAGGCCACTTTGACCTGCTTTTAGTTTTTTTCTTTTTTCTTTTTTTTAACATTTATTTTTGAAACAGGGAGAGGCAGAGCTGGAGGCAGGGAGGGGCAGAGAGAGAGGGAGACACAGAATCAGAAGCAGGCTCTAGGCTCTGAGCTGTCAGCACAGAGCCTGATGCGGGGCTTGAACCCACGAACCATGAGATGATGACCTGAGCTGAAGTTGGACGCTTAACTGACTGAGCCACCCAGGCGCCCCTACGATTTTATTTTAAGTAATCTCTACACCCAACACGGGGCTCAAACTCATAACCCCAAGATCAAGAGTCACATGCATTTCCGACTGAGTCAGCTGTGCGCCCCTCTTTTTCCTTTTTTCTTTCGCAGCCCACAGGGCAGCTCGGTTCTGGTGAACTAAAACAGTAACCGACAGACTTTGGCTAAGGTCTCTGGAATAAACACGTTTCAATGAGAAAGCAAGCCTTGGGAAAACGTACAGTAATTCTCAAATAGGCTTCCTTATTTTTTAAGTATTTTTATTTTTCAAGGTTAGTGTATAGGCCTGTGAAATTATTTTCAGAGCTTTGAAAAGTGACTTAGTAGGCAAAATATGTGCAGTAAGAATCATTGCATTTCTGAAGAGTTTAATTCATCAGCCTGCTCTTAAAAGCAGCAGGGGTGAGTGTATGAAAAGTCTAAAAAGAAAGTGAAAAAAAAAACCCAAGGCCATCAGGTCTTTTCTGTGGTTGTTCAAACATCATTTCAACTGGAGACTTAAAATACAGACTTTCGGCTACAGGATTGGCGCTTTTAATGTGTACTTTCACTTTGAACAGTAGGCTTAAAAAGGAATCAAGCTTCAAAAGTTAAAAAATTCTGGGCTTTGCAATCTCTCTGAAAGTTGACTCAGATTCATAACTATTAAAATCTATTAGTGGATTCCTTCAGTTTTAATAAATAAGCTTTATAATCACAGTCACGTTACATATTACCTCCTGGTATATTCTGTTTATGAAGTGAAAGTCAATAGTTGAAACCTAGTAGGAATGTTGTTTAAGGTACACTTTCTTGTTGAGCTGCAGTATTAGTAATAATATACGTAAGTTAGGGTGCTTCTTGATGTTCCCTTAACTCTTTACATGAATTTGTACTGTTTTGGTGGGCACGTTGTTTTTGTGATGCATCAGAACAAAGGTTTTGATATCTGGGTATTTCATGTCCTGAACTAATTGGAACCATTCTCCTTAGGTCCTAACATTTGGCTCGAGTACGGCCAGTACTCGGTCGGTGGGATTGGGCAGAAAGGTGGCCTTGAGAAAGTGCGCTCTGTGTTTGAAAGGGCGCTCTCGTCGGTTGGCTTACATATGACCAAAGGACTCGCTATCTGGGAGGCCTACCGGGAGTTTGAGAGTGCCATCGTGGAGGCCGCCCGGGTGAGTGCCCCGGTCTCGGGGCCCAGTGCTTCCCTTTGAATAGTCAGGGCGCTCTTTGTAAGCGGTCTTGGAGGAGCACCGTGAACAAAATGGTCTTTGCCAGTCCCTTGGTGGGTGGGCAGCAAAATCAAATCAGTGGTCTTCGTGGAATAGCAAAAATGATTTGACTAAAAAACAGACGACCCTATGATATTTTCCTGATGTTTAGAATACTACTATTTAAAAAAAAAAAAAAATACTACTATTTCAGTTACTGGTTCCAGGTGAATACACAAGAATGGCCACGTCACACTCCATACATATATATATGTATATGCGTGTATATACGCATACGTTATGTGTATGTGTCGTGTCCAGAAGTAACTGCAAGAGATTTGACCCCATCAGATTGGATTTTTAAACTCTGATTTACAGGATTTTACAGGCCCCCCCAATGTGCCCCCTCCCCCGTGTTTGTGTGTGTGCCCAGAGCTAGTGGTGGCAGTTAGTGGAGCCTGCTAGCAGTTGGGTCATGATTACTGAAGTGGCGTGTTCCCTCGCTGACGACACCCCTGTTGAAGAGTCTGCAGCGGTGCCTTCAGCTCCCCCTCCCTGAAGCCTCAGGGCCGACTCCTTCGGCCGACCTAACCCCTCGTGGGCCCTGCTCCCACAGTCCCCTCCACAGTCGTGCACCTGCGCCCTCTGTTCCCACACCGTTCCTTCTCTCCCTGCGTCTGGAGAGCCCGCAGGTGCCCCCAGTGCCGGCTCCCCACCGGAGTCCTTCCCGATCTCCTGCCTTCGTAACAGACCTCGGCCTCAAAAACCTGCTGCAAGCAAGCCCCAGGACTTTGATACTTGTGATACTTTCACAGTATCTACGTTCGGCCTCATCATAGTCATTTGTGTAGAATATAGTCCGTATAGACATTTCTTGTGTTACTTTTGCTTTTCACCCCATCTCCAACATCAGTAGCCAAGACCAGTTTATTTTGGAATCCTTGGCAGCACTTGTCAACAACACCTCATGCATAAGAGGTCAGACCCGTTTTTTTAGTTTCACCGAAAAACTTTTTGAAATATTTTTTGAAGTAGGGATAGCCAAAAAATTTGTAATTTACTACACATTTGCTTCTTTAGCCCATAGCTGGCTTCCTTTCCCCTTCTGACCGGGAACAAACCTTTGATTCACAGCTGGAGAAAGTCCACAGTCTCTTCCGGCGACAGTTGGCGATCCCACTTTTTGGTAAGAGAAACAGACATGTCAGTAGCCGGTCCTCCGTGGTTTTTAAAATGCTTTGGGATATGTGTTATAATTAGCCCTTTCCTAGCATCCTGTGAGGCAAGTGCTGCTGGTGTTCTTGCTTTCACGGGACAGTGTCACCGTGGACAAGGCCCTTGGTAAAAACATACCTTGAATTGTTAATGTTCAAGAGGATTCTGAGGGTCAGCAGCAGACTTCCTGGCTCAGTTTCCTAGGGTAAGACATTGTTGGAGAGGTAGAGTACCTATAAGAAATAGGGAAGCTGACCTTCTATATTTTCTGGGGAAACTTTATTGAGTAAGGGTTCCACTGTGAACATACTCTCTTTAGGAGTAATCTCTTCAGTGTCAGATGGGGATTTTCCACAGGCTTCTATCATTCTTTGGTGGGGGTGATTTGGTTCAGGAGCACTGTTGATTGAAAGTGTTTACATCTGAATTTCTTGGGGGCTTGGTAAGGATTTTCCTTTTTGGGTAAATATATTTTGGTAAGCCAAGCCATGAAAGCTCTGGGATTGCGTGTGAGCAGCGCCTGGAGGATATTTCTGGGCACAGGAAGAGTTAGGTGCTGCCATTTTATTTGTTCCCTAGGCCTGGTTACACGATGCACACCCTTGGCACTTCTGGATAACTGTTTGAGCCCAGACATAGTTTCTTTTTTTACTTTATGGTTTATTTGGATTTGATTTGACAAATTTATAAAGTGGCTGGCTTTCCAGTTGATTCCTTGGGTGATAGGCAGAAAAGCCTAGGAGTGGCTTGTACGTTTCCTCTCACGGACCCATGTGATGGCACAGCCCAATGAGTAGAGCGTGACCTTGAGCCGTACTGCCTGGTTCAAGGCCTTGCTCTACCATTTGATGTAATTCTCTGCTTGCATTTCCTCAACTGCAAAATGGGGATCACGATAGAACCTACTCCGTAGAGGTGTGAGGAGCGATTGAGTTAGTGGATGGAGAGTGTTAGAACATAGGAAGCAGTGGGTAAGTGTGGCTGTTATTTAATTAACCGATTCATTAGTTAGTAGGGCTGCTTGGGGAATTGCTTTGAGATGGAATCTAGGGTCAGCTCTGGGCCCAGTAGAAGGTTTGATCAGAAGTACTTTTGTGGCCACTGGTGCGGGAGGGACTGGCGACAGCTGAGCCTCCTGGTTTAGTCTCTGGTTGGGTTGGTAAAACCCATGGCAAGACCTACGGGGCTGAATCCGTCTTTCAATAGATATGGAGGCCACATTTGCAGAGTACGAAGAGTGGTCAGAAGACCCGCTACCAGAGTCGGTAATTCAGAACTATAACAAAGCACTACAGCAGCTGGAGAAATACAAGCCCTATGAAGAAGCGCTGGTAAGTGTTGGCCCCTCTGACAGTAAGCGTCTCCCTACAAACTTTTCCCTGATCGATAGTTGCAAATAAGCAGTATCTTTAACATTTGTTTTGTTTGAAATATGTAGAGTGTATAAATGTGTACATACAGTTTACATCCTAATAATAAAGTGAACGTCCATGTACCCACCACCCAGGTTAAGAAATAGAACATTGCCAGTCCCTAGAAGTCTCCTATGTGCCCCTCTCCGATTGCCTCCTCTTCCCTCTCCCGAGAGGTAATCACTTTCCTGACTTTTGTGATAATCATTCCCTTGCTTTTCTTTATGGTTTTACAATCTATGAACATAGATTAACGTATTGTTTAATTTTGCCTGTTTTTTGAGCTTTTATATAACGGCATCGTGCTGTGTATTTTCTTTCATTGAACATGTTTTTGGGTTGTGCTCACGTTGACAAGCATAGTCCATTTGTTTCCGCAGCTATCGAGTTGTGTACGTGTCCGCTGCAGTTTGTTGACTCGCGTTCCTAGGTAGTTGGGTCACTTTCCAGTGTTTTGCTAGGAGGAGCGACGTGTTTCCTCCCGTTCTCGAACATATCTCTTGGTACACTTGTGAGAAGTGCGCTTTGAGAGAGTGCACCTCGGGACCGGGCGGCTCTTCTTGCTCCCGGCCACCGCCCCCCCCAGGGAGCTCTCAGCCACCTCGGGATCTCGTCGTCCTCACCAGCCTTGGATGTCGGCATCCTCAGATTTGAGCCATTCTGCTGGATCTGAAGTTGTAGCCTTAATTTGCATTTCCCTGATTACTGCTAACATTGGGCATTTTTTCATCTGTTGGTGTTTAGGTTCCTTTTTTGTGAGATGCCTCTTGAAGTCTATGACTCCTTTTCCTTTCCTTTGTTTTTTGCCAAATTAATTCAGAGGAATATCAGATCTTAATTCTTACTTTTGGTTATATGTATTGCAAAAGTGTCCCCCAGGTTTGTGATTTGTTTTTTCACTGTGTTTAATGGCGTCTTTTGATGCCATTCTTAATTTCACTCTAGTTGGATGTATCATTCTTTCTCTTACAGTTTGCACTTTTGTTACGCTTAAGAAATCTCTCCATGTTCCAAAGTCATGGCTATTCTTAGCTCTGTTTTCTTCTGAAAGTTTATAGTTGTATTTCATGTTTAGATCTTCATATGGAATTGATTTTTGTGTATGGCATGAGGTAGGGGCCAGTTTCATTTTTCCATATGAGAGTCAGTTTTCCAGCACCAATTTTGATAATTCCATCTCCCTCTCGTTGATGTGCTGGTTCACATCTGTCATAGATCGGCTGTCCATTTGTGTGTGTGTCTATTTCTGGTCTTTCTGTTCTGCTCCACTGGCTTATATTACACTGTCATAGTAATGATAGTTTTATAAGTTTTACTCTTAGGTAACATGAATCCCACCAGGTAGTTCCTCTTCAAGAGTGTTTTGTCTTTCTTTAACTTTTTTTTTTTTTTTAACAAATGCTATTTATTTATTAAGTTTACTTATTTTGAGAGAGAGTGAGAGAGACAGACAGAGCATGTGAGCAGGAGAGGGGCAAAGAGAGAGGGAGAGAGAGAATCCCAAGCAGGCTCCGCACTGCCAGCACAAAACCCAATGTGGGGCTCAGACCTGTGAACTGTGAGATCATGACCTGAGCCAAAATCAAGAGTTGGATGCTTAACTGACTGTGCCACCCAGGTGCCCCCTTTCTTTAGCTCTTCCTACTTCTGTTGAATAGAATCAGCTTTTCAAGTTTTATTTAAAATGTTGAATTTTTTTTACTGGAATTGCATTTTATCTTTAATCCATTTGGGGAAGAATATACATTTTTAAAATTTTGAGTCTTCCCGTCTATAAACATGGTATGTAGGTCTTTGGTATTTAGGCCTTATCTTTCTGTAAAGCTTTATGAATTTATAATTTCATCTGATATTTTGGACACATTTCTTAGATGTATTCCTGAGTTATTTTTGAGTCTACTGAAAATGTTTCCTTTTTCAAAGATTTGCTTTAGTTCTAGTTGTTCCTGGTATGGAAATTTTAATTCTCTATATTAATTTTTTGTCAGTTTTCTTCAAAAATTCTTATTAATGATTTATTGATTCTTTTGGATTTTCTGTGTTGACCATTTTTTGTGTTTTTGTCCATAATGCTGTTTGTAAGTAAGTGCTGTTTTTCACCCTTCCTTGGCCTTAGAATACTTTCAACTTCATTTCCCATGCCTCACACTTACACACTCATTTTTTGTTTTTCTTGTCTTTTGTTCAACCTGAAGGGCATCCTTGTTAATCTTGCATTATAGAGCTCCACCCTCTCTACATTCACTATGTGAATTTCCCACTTTTCTTTGCTCTTTTCCCCTTCTTGCATCCTGGAGCTTTCATCTGGAAGAATCATTTTTCTTTTGCTTCAAACGCACCCATTAGAGTCTCCTGCACCGGATATTTGCTGGTGACAGATGGTCTCAGTTTTAATTTGCAAAGGTCTTTCACTTTGCTCTCCTTAAAAGTTCATGTCTCAGGATGTAGAATTCTAGACTGACAGTTACATCTTCTGTCTTGCTTCTGTTGTTGCTGTTAGGAAGTCGGCTTCTTTGATGGCAATCCTTGTTTTTTCTCTGACCCATTTTAAGATCTCTTTGGTTTTGCCTGATGTCCTGTAACTTCAGTCCAGTAGCTCCAGGGGTGGATACCTTTGTGTTTATCCTTTTTGGGGTTCGTTGGGCTTCTTGGCCCTGTTTTTGGTATCTTGTGGCATAGTAAGAACAGAGACTCTGAGAGCCAGGCTGCCTCAAGTTTGCATGTTTGCGCTGCCAGTCACTAGCTCTCAGGCTTCCTTCTTAGCCTCCTTGAGTATCTGTCGCCTTGAATGTAAGATAGGGTAATAATGACACCTCGTTGTGAAGATCACATCCTTAATAGATCTTACACAGGCAAAGGTTTAACCTTCTCTTAGGTTTTGTTTAGTGTTTCTTGTTTCTTTGCCAGTTTGCTGATGATTTTCAAGACATTTTTCATATTTAATCCAGCAGTTTTAGTTGTTTTCAGTGGCAGTCTGTCTGGGAACTAGTTTGTCATTACAGCTAGAAACCGAGGCTCCAGAGCATCATCTTTCTATGTTCAGCACGTGTGTGCTCTCCTGCTCACCCGCATGCGTTCCATCTCCCTTTTCCACACGTAAATGATTGGATGTGGTAGTACTCAAATCCTCATTAGTGAAATCCTCACCCAGTTTGATGTCATTAGGATCTTCAGTAGAGTGTGGCTGAAAAGTTGAATAAGATTTTTGTCAGAAAAGAATTCGGACTGTAGGTCTTTGGGTCTGTAAGCATTCGGCCTAGCGTCTTCCGTTTTCTGTATGCACCTGCACCCCGGCAGGAGCCCATGTTTGCGATGAGAAAGCTGAGTACCACACGGCCCCAAAGTGCTGCAGTGTGGTTGCCCTCACTCACTCAGTAGGCCCAGGGAGGGCTAGCTGTGGTCATTGGCAAAGGGGTTTCTCGGTCGTTCAGTTTCCGATAGATGCTCCCATCAGAAATCTCCTGTGGTCTAGGGATGGGCCTGGGAAAGGCTTTATGGAGTCTGTGTAGCTGTTTCCGTGGAGAGGCCCTCCGGACCCTGACTCTGCCGGGCAGACCGTGGAGGTACTGGGGGTGGGGATTGGTGATTCTAACTGACGTGGCCAGGCTTGCTAGGATTTAATGTGAAGATGTGTTGTGCTTCCTCCCAGTGTCGAGCAGCTCATTTCAACCTCATTGTGCATCCCCCCCCCCCCCCCCCCGGCCCTAGTTGCAGGCAGAGGCGCCCAGGCTGGCTGAATACCAAGCGTACATCGATTTTGAGATGAAAATCGGCGACCCTGCCCGCGTTCAGTTGATCTTCGAGCGCGCCCTGGTGGAGAACTGCCTCGTCCCCGATTTGTGGGTCCGCTACAGTCAGTACCTAGTAAGACGACCTGGCTGTGCCAACTTCGTATCCTTTTTACCGACGGAGAATCTATGTAGAGGAAGCCAGCCAGGGCTCCAGGGGTCGGCTGTGTGCCGCTCCTCTCTGCGCTCTCACTGTGCCCTCATCCTCCCTTCGCCCTCTCTGCCAGCCCTGAGGTTCTGCTGTTTTGAGTCCTGTCACACTGATCATGCTAACTTTAGAAAAAATTGGCACGGTTTACCTATTGAGGACTTTGTGACCTTAATTTTTTTCTTCTCACTTTGTATCCTGGAGAAAACGTAAACCTAGCACGTAGATTAGTAAAGCTGGTGTGCCATCACCCACCTTCAACATTAACGTGCGGCACTAGCCTAGTTTTGCCTGGGTCCTTACCTTCTTCCCCTTTCCCTGTGAAGCTGCTCCAGAAGTCGCGTTTCATTGGCAGATACCTCAGGGTGTATGTATAAAAGATTTGAATCGGGATGCAGACGAGGTCTGTCTGCTTGGATTGGCTGTTTTATCTACGGTCTCCCCTCTCCCCAATTCCCCTTGGCGATTTTTTTGTCGAAGAAACCAGTCATGAGAATTTCTAAGGGAATTTCTTTTGTCAGCTGGTTGTGCTGGAAATGTCTTGTGGATGGTGAAGTCTGTAACGGTAGCATTTTATCTCCTAACGATGAATTTCTGTATCATAGGATCGGCAGCTGAAAGTAAAGGATTTGGTTTTATCTGTACATAACCGTGCCGTGAGAAACTGCCCCTGGACAGTTGCCCTTTGGAGTCGTTACCTCTTGGCCATGGAAAGACATGGAGTTGACCATCAAGTGATTTCCGGTGCGAATGCTTCTGTGGGAAGACTCTTAAACTCTCCGTTCCAAGCCAGAAAGATAGCTGTGACAGAGTCATCAAGTCAGCCTTTCCATGGGTGTCGAGCTTGGGATATTGGGTGTTAGTGACAAAAAAAGGCCTAAGTGGGAGATAACTTGTTTGTATTTTGGGCTTCTTAGAGCTTTTAATGTGCTAACATTCTTTGTGATTTTCCAAGAAGTTGGGTCTTGTCTTCAATCTGATTTGACGTGGCATTCTTGTAGTGCAGGACATCGTGTGGAGCTCACCCTTTCTAGAACACAGTTGGTGCAAATCCTGTAGTAGCTTTTCTTCTGAACAGTTCTCTCTAGCTCACTTCACTTTTTTGTATCCTATCATTATTATTTTAAATCATACAGTAGCTGAGAGTCCGTAGAGGTTTTTATAACAATCTTGATAACTTATATTAGCTTCTCTTTGAATTGGTCAGAAATTCTGGCTTTTTCTTTAATTCCAGTGACCTTCGAGAAAGCTTTGAGTGCCGGCTTCATCCAGGCCACTGATTACGTGGAAATTTGGCAGGCGTACCTGGATTACCTGAGGAGAAGAGTTGATTTCAAACAAGGTATTTAAATTCTTGTGTCAGATTCAGTTCTGAATTTTTTAACATACATTTTCTGAGATGACCCAGATTGCCCAGATATCTCATGATTAGGCAAATGATACAGACCAGCCACTGGCAACCTGTTTTCCCCCAGAAATTTTAGCTGTTGGATCTTCTAAAAATTCCTGCTGTGAATCGTAAAGGAAGAGTTAAGGTCCTTCTGTTTCATACTGGCTCCCACCAGCCTCTAGTTTCATTTCTCTCCTCTCTCCTTTCTTACATCCTAACTAGGTCTTCAGATAGGACTCCTGTGTGTCTTTTAAATCTTGGAACCTCTGTAGGATCCCCTGCCTTCTTCCCTTGGCCCCTCAAAAAAAAGGTGGGGGAGGGCAACAGAAACCGCCCATTTGCACTCATGCAGGTGGCCCTCAGCCATTCTGCCAGCTGTGGTCCTGCATGCAGCACCCTGTGCTCGCCCTTTCGCACCGTCCATGGTGTGTGCCGCTCTAGGCTTTCTCCCTGGCTATGTGATGCGGGCAGGAACCGATGCCAGAGGTGTAGCAGGCTCCCGGGAGTTTCACTGTAGGATTTAAAAGAAAAAAAAGATGTGGTATGTGGTTTCATGAAGCCAAACCTCTTTTGCAATTTCGAATAGACTCCAGTAAAGAGCTGGAAGAGCTGAGGTCTGCATTCACTCGCGCCCTGGAGTATCTGAAACAGGAGGTGGAGGAGCGTAAGTGTGCCTTCGGCCGACTCCTTTGTCCACTTGTCGCTCCTGTCCGTAGTTGGTGTGCCTTCTCAGTCAGAGGCTCTTCGTCTCTAAATTAATTTCTGATTTTGACTCGTTCTGTCCTTCCAGGTTTCAGTGAGAGTGGAGACCCAAGCTGCGTGATCATGCAGAACTGGGCTCGGATCGAGGTAAGCGTTCACGACACACCTGTCAGCTCCACCCCGTTCTGAAGGGACATTTGTGTAGGTAATGTGGCTGAGGTTGCGCCAGAATCCTAGGTGATGGTCTAGGGTCTGTAAGGACTTCTGTTAAATATCTAGCTTCGTGCTCATTCATTCATATCTGAGGAAAGCACTGGCACCTGCATGTAGGAGGTGACACAGCAGACATCGGAATCGCGTCACGCGTGCACCTCTTCCTTCTGTCCCTCAGTGCCTTGTTCATGAGCCTGTACCAGGTGGGGACTGTTTGCCAGGCGTTTCCCTGTGTGCTGGGGAGTGAGATAGTTCTGCTCTATGCTCCTAAGGCTTGAATCTCATGTAGGAGACAGGAATTTGACAAATATTTCGGGCATGCAGTGAATTGAGTGTTATTGTTGGACCGAAGACCCCAAGTTGATAAGATACGGAACCCGCCCTTGATCAGCCCACAGAATTGTGAAATTCTTTTAAGAAAATAATTTAATTTGTTTATTTATTATATTTATTTTTGAGAGAGAAAGAGAGCAGGGGAGGGGCAGAGAGAGAAGGAGACACAGAATCTGAAGAAGGCTCCAGGCTCCAAGCTGTCTGCACAGAGCCCAACGCGGGGCATTCAAGCCCCGGATCATGACTTGAGCCAAAGTCACGTGCTTAACTGTCTGAGCACCCAGGCACTTCCAGAATTGTGAAAATCTAAGCACGTTTTATTTTCTGAGAGGGGTCAGGTCAAAGAAATGGATATCTGTCAGGTTCACAGAGGTTCACCTGCCCAAGTCACTTAATAAGTGGCAGATCAGGGGACCTACTCCTAGATCAGTCTGTCTTTGCGTTGCCTCGAATTAAACACTTGTAGTTAAGTTCGATAAAAACAAAACACAATTGTCTAGCTAGTTCTGTCATAAGTACCTGTGGGCTCAAATAGGTTAGGCAGATAGCTCGAGGCTTGTCACCTTGGAGAGGCCGAGGGGGTCAGGCCAAGCCCATCTCCCTGGAAGGTGGCCAGGAATGTCCAGGGAGTCACGTAACATGCACAGTCAGTGGGGGGGGGTTAAAGCACGTGTGTTTGAAGTGTGTTTTGTGATATGTGCCAGCGTCATAAGGTTTGCGTCTTTTCCTAACGGAGCCTGTTAATGCGTTGTAGGCTCGCCTGTGCAATAACATGCAGAAAGCTCGGGAACTCTGGGACAGCATCATGACCAAGGGGAATGCCAAGTATGCCAACATGTGGCTTGAGTATTACAACCTGGAAAGGTAACTGATCTGGGGGCGCTTTTGGTGGTGCTTGTCAGGGGTAATCTGTCTTCAGTCCTGGCTGACTCCTGCTGGCTTGGGCCTGCCCCTTACCGTAGGCTCCCCCGACCTTAATTAGCCTCTGTCTTGTTAGTGGCTGTGTGTATAATGGGCGAAGGCTAGGGAACTAAACCTACTGTTTTATGCCTAGCCCTGTATTCTGGCCCTGTGTTTCTGTTTGTTATTTTGATTTGTTTTGATTTTTGGACATGAATGTTTCATTTCACTTTTGGGGGGAACTATTAATTTATTATGCTTGCTTTGTATGTAAAAGTAGAAAATATTAAAAAGTAAAGAGAAAAAACCCCAAATTATCTGTAGTGACAATCCCAGAAGACACACCCTTGTTAGCTAATGGTTCAGGTATATTCTTTGAGATTTTTTCTATATTTAAATTGTTTTAAATTATTTTTATTTTAGGGCCGCCTGTGGGTGGCTCAGTTGGTTAAGTGTCCGACTGTGGCTCAGGTCATGATCTCACAATTTGTGGGTTGAGCCCCGTGTCGGGCTCTGTGCTGACAGCTCAGAACCTGGAGTCGACTTCAGATTCTATGACTCCCTGTCTCTGCTCCTTCCCTGCTCACTCTCTCTCTCTCTCAAAAATAGATAAACATTAAAAAATTATTTTTATTTTTTTAAGAAAGCACATGTACAAGCTGGGAATGGGCACAGGGAGAGGGAGAGAGAGAATAAGCAAGTTCCATGCCCAGAGCAGAGCCCCACGTGGGGCTTGATCCTGTGACAGTGAGATCATGGCCTGAGCCTAAATCAAGAGTTGGACGCTTAACTGACTGAGCCACCCAGATGCCCTGTCATTTTTTGTTCTTAAAGATAATGCGATGATAGTGTACGTTATAAATCTCTGAAGCTATTTTAAATAAATAAGATATGGCCAATAATATTTATCATGTGGGGAAGATGTAAAGAATATGATCAGTTTTTCTATCCATTGTGTCTTGAACATTGTCAATAAATATATTTCTGGGTTTTTTTTCTTGAGTATTTTGGCTTTTCTCCCAATTTAAAAAAAACATGTACTCAAAATAAGACATTTACAAAACTGTGTGGTAGAAAGTGAAAGTTTACTCCCGTTGAATAGTATGACTACTGTTCAAGTGTGTTGAAGGTTACCTGGGTGGCTCAGTGGGTTAAGCATCTGACTCTTGATCTTAGTTCAGGTCATGACCTCACGGTTTGTGGAATTGGGCCCTGTGTCAGGCTCTGCACTGATAGGGTGGAGCCTGCTTGGGGTTCTCTCTCTCCCTCTCTCGGGCTCTCCCCTGCGCACATGTGCGTTATCTCAAAATAACTAAACATTTTTTAAAAAGCTTGTCAAATATTCCTCTAGGCCAGTAGTTCTCAAACTTTTTGGTCTACGGAGCCCTTACACTCTTAAAGAACCCTGGAAAGCTTTTGTTTATGTGAGTTGTCTATATTTAATGTTGCCATATTAGAAACATTGATAAATCTTGTCAAGTATCAATATCGCTATGTTAGGAAGTGAAAAACATTTTTATTTAATTGTCATAAGAATAAATTCATTCCTAAGTTCATAACATAAAGAATATACTTTTTAGGAAAAATGATTATTTTCCAAACCCCAAAATAATTTAGTGAGAAAAGTGGCATGGTTTTGTATGTTTGTGAGTATCTGTAGTTTGGCTTAGAAGACTGCTGGATTTTGCATTCACTGTATTATGAATTTGCATTGAAGAATAGGAAGAAAATTTGGCTTCACACAGATAAGAGGTTAGAAGAGAGAAGAGGTATTTTAATAAGCTTTTCAGATAAGTGTGATTATTCTTTCATAGTAGGGCAAGATTCAGCAAGTGCAGTTTCTTTAAAAAATTTGTTTCTGATGCTTTTAATTATCTTTTAGATAGAAAGCACGAGCTGGGGGAGGGGCAGAGAGAGAGGGAGACAGGAACCAAAGTAGGCTCCATGCTGACAGCAGAGAGCCCGATGCTGGGCTCGAACTCATGAGCTGTGAGTTCATGACCTGAGCCAAAGTCGGATGTGTAGTGGACCGAGCCACCCAGGCTCCCCAGCAAGTGGTAATTTCTTACGTAGTTGCAATGTAGAACCTGAAACCATATCATCGAATTTCTCGGACTCTTACGTTAATATCCATTGGTCTGTTTTGTACTTTGAATGGACCTTTTACGCACTCAGGGTTCCGTGACCTGCATTATGCATTTGGAAAATACTCAATTACTGAGTCATGCAGCTCTTCACAGCATGGACACATTTCATTTTACGGTATTTTAAAAAATATCTTTGGTTCATATCCTTAGGGATCTTAATCTTTTAAGTAGGAAGTTGTCAGACTCAAAGTGGCAGATACAGATTTTCCTAAATTTGGATTTTCACTTGAACACTGCAGTGTTATCATGGTAGCAAATACAGTTCATGGTTTTCCTTGAAGTGATGGACTCTCTTTGTTAATTTTCAGAAATGTCTGCCAAATTGCTCAGGCCTACATAACCATAGTTTTGGTTGCTGTACTGTTTTCTCAAGTAAAAATGCTGTTTCATGAAAGCACAGACTAGTTCATCTCGCACCCCAGACAGAAGGACCTGCTCCTCTTTGCGACAAGCGTACTTGAGTGTGCAGAAAAAGCGCTTTATATGTGCGCCTCTCCTTTTGTCCCACAGACTGTGAAAACTACATGTGCTGCCTTGATCGGTGCCAAGGGCCACCATGGTTTTTGCACCATCAGTGCAAATGTCAACACAGTGGCGAGGTCAATTCCTGTTCAGTAATAACGGAAGTAGTTAGGACCTTGTAGGTCCCCGGAAAGGGTCTCGGAGGCCCTCGGGTACGTGGATCATGCTTGGAGAACCGCTGCTCTGAGTTTGTATTTTTTAGTGTCCTCATAGGTATTTATAACACTTACGTATATCTGTGAGGTTTTTTTTTTAAATAGAAACGGGAACATAGTGTTTCATAACCACTGTTATTAAGAGAATCTTGTTTATTGTGATTAGCATTATATCCTTCCGTGGGAGTGCCAAAAGATGGGACTCTGGGCAGGAAATCTGACGGTCGGCTGGGTTAGAGTTTCTTCCCTCAGGTAGCACCGCATCCAAGAATTTCTCTAAGGACTTGATCAAGTTATGTGGTGTTCTTAGACCCCCCACCTGCGTTGCATGTGCCAGTGCTGTAAGGGCAGGACACCTGGTCACAGACTGTGTCCCAGGTGCCTTTTCCAGGAGTGTCTGGGTGCTAAAGGCAGGAGTGGCTTTTAAGAAAGTCTTAATTTCTGACTGGAAGAAGAAGGAGAAAACATTATAAGTAGCAGTAGGACAAAGAGCTGTGGGTAGTTCTGGAAGCTAGAGCCTCCTCAGAGCTAGAGCTTCTGCTCTTGTGACATTACCTGTGAGAAGACAGCCCCTCCCTCTGTGTGCCTGCTGCTGTGTGTGCTGGTGGCAGCCACAGTGTGTTTTCTGTCCTAGGGCACACGGTGACACCCAGCACTGTAGGAAGGCTCTGCACCGGGCCGTACAGTGCACCAGTGACTACCCGGAGCACGTCTGTGAAGTGCTGCTCACCATGGAGAGGACAGAAGGTGGGGACCCTCCGCTCTCGGCTTCTGGCATGGAGTCTGTCCCATTGGCCATTTGGTCTCTAGACTATAGTCTAAGGACAGACTGTATGGGTACAGCCGCTCAGGTGGCGCTCTGATTAGAGTGTCGATGCCACTCGCCAGTGAGCCCGCGTCCTCAGAGTGTCTGGGGACAAGGAGGGTGTGTGTGACGTGCTCGGGCACAGGGTTCTCTTCATCCTTCGTAGTGGGTGCGGTCCTGGCTGCTCACTGCGTACCAGTAGCTCTCTGCCCTTGCCCCCAGTCACAGCCGAAGCATCTCCACACTTGTTCCTGGGGATCTGGCTCGCAGTTCAGAGTCTCTGCTCTAGCCCAGTGCCATGTATACCAGAGGCAGGCTGAGAGGCAGAGCGCTGGACACGGGCTTTGGTGGCGTGTGCGTCCCTTGTCCTAGCTTAGAGCCTCAGTATTAAGTTCTCAATAGGAAAATAGCGAATTTATTCATGGGTGTTGATCTAGATTTTGGGTATGAACCCCTCGGACCTGGAAACAAAACACCCAAGCAACAACAAATAAAAAACACCCTAACCTTTGTCATTTGAGCGGCTCTTAAAATCCTTCAATCTTCGTGTCAGTGTCTTATGCCTGTTACATTAGGATGTCTTCTTAATCTTTGCCATGGAGAGCGCATAATAGATCAGTTCGCAGTCTGGTTCAGGTCATTTCTAAAAGGAAGGGATGTTGGAGACACTTCTGGAAGGACTGTTCAAATTCTAAAAAGTTTAAGCCTGCAGTAAGGAAACCCAAAACAGGGAGCTGACTCTCCAGTTCTTACTGTCTGATGGGAGAGGTCTCTGGTGGACGTGTGGGGAAAATAAGAAAATTTTATATTCTTACATCTTTTAAAATTGTAAAAAGTTAAAGTTTGTTTCTCTTTCTATCAAGGTACTCTGGAAGATTGGGATATAGCTGTTCAGAAAACTGAAACGCGATTAGCCCGTGTGAATGAGCAGAGAATTAAGGTGATGATGCTATGTAAAGACTTCAGAACCTCTGCTAGCTATTTTGACTGTGTTTGCTATGAATATTTCTTGCCAAAACCCTTGAGGTCTTCTTAGGTATCTTTTACTCAGAATATTCGTTAGCGAGATATTTGAACCAGCATTGAAGCCTGTCTTGTATCATTTTCTTGGATTGGCTTAAAACTTGAGCCCCAACAATAAGTACATAGTGGGGGGCATTTGGGACCTAAAATTTATTGGGATATAGTTGGAAAAGATAAGAATGGAGCCTCACTTAGCCCAGTGATTGGAACTTGAACACGTCCCAATTAATTAGAGCCCCAGTTTTACAGTGTGTTTCTTCCTTTTCGGGAGTAATTCCTGGGGGTACCGCAGAGCATCCTGTAGACTTGAGACACAGAACCCGAAGAAGCCTGGGTGAGCCCTGGCCGGGAAAGTCGTGAGGATACCCTTCTCCTCCTCCTGGTGACCTCTTCTCTCCCTGGTGTAGTGAATTTCCACTCCCGAGTCCCCTCCCCTCTCCAGTCGCCACCGGTCCGTGGAGTTCACGCAGTTGCTGCATCCTAGTGATGCGTCCATGTTCCCCACTTCCCAGGCTGCAGAGAAGGAAGCCGCGCTCGCCCAGCAGGAAGAAGAGAAGGTGGAACAGCGGAAGAGGGCCCGGGCCGAGAAGAAAGCATTGAAGAAGAAGAAAAAGACCAGAGGCGCAGACAAGCGCAAAGCAGAAGAGGATGATGAGAAGGAGTGGGGCGATGATGAAGAAGGTAAAGCTTCCTGGAAATGCTACTTGCGAGCATCTCCAAGTTCCAGGGAAGTTAGGAAAAACATCCCGAGACCTTTTGTCTTAAACCACGTGAGGATGACTTGCTTGCGTGGTGCCCTGTCCCCCTTCCTGTCCCTCCCTGCCATCTGCGTGCGTGTCCTCCCCGTGCTCGGGCTCCACGCCGTGGGCCAGGCCCTGCCCTGCAGCCTCGGCCTGTCCGCCTGGCCTCCACTCCCTCCGCTGGGCCGGCGCCCCTTCCGCTGCCTGCGGTGTGGAGCCCCCCTCACCCAGTCGGGCTCCCACAGCCCAGCTGTCCCTGCCCCTCCCCCCCTCAGGCCCAGCATCCCACACGCAGCCCTTGCCTTGCTCGGCCCGCCAGATGGTTTTGACTTGGTAGAGTCTTCCGGCCAGTGCTGCTCTTGCTCCTGCGGTTTCAGGGCTGGGCAGGTGTGGGTCAGATTTATTTCAGCAAAGTCAGGAAGGTAGAGAATTGCCTCTGGGCATCAAGGGACTCCATGCCTTTTCCTAGTTCAGAAGTGTCAACCAGCGGAAAATAGTGATGGAGTCGTCATTCAGTTGACCTTCCTTGTGCACCTTTTTGGGGCCTTCATAATGACCATGTATGGGTAGCTCACTGCCCTAGGGCTCCAGGTTTAGCCAGATGTGACGTGTGACGCAGTGGTGTGTGACTGTGGGAGAGCATGGTGTGGATTAACGGGGAAGGCCAAAGGGCCACTGGCGGGCCAGCCTCCTGCAGGGAAGACTTTAGGCACTTCAGCATCTTTAGGCACTGTCAAGTACAAAGGAAGGGAAGGGTCAACCAGACAGTGCCACTGACAGCAAGGCATGAGGAACAGAAGAGCCTGGCATTTTCTGTGAGCCGCAGAAAATGGGGGCCGGGGGAGCAGGCCAGCCACCCCACTCGGGGCCACGCTTGAGTGCGGTGTGCAGTGGTCAGTCTTCATTAGGAAGGTGGTGGAGAATTGATGGAAAGGTCTGGAAGTGGGGTCAGTGTGCCCTCTGGAGGCAGGGGGGCTGGATGGAATGGTGTTGAACTCTGCTGGAGGACACGAGACGAGCAAACCTTTTAGGGACTCCAGGGCTGTGCGGGTGTGGAGCCCGTACTTCGGAGTCCCCTAGGGTGCTTGTGTAAATGCAGGTCTCCCGGCCCAGCCATCTGGTACCCAGCAAGAGGGGTACTGGAGTGTTTGCCATCTGAAATTTAAGATCCCCTGACCTTTTATGCAGTTGACCCTTGAACCTTGAGGGTTAGGGGTGCTGACCCCCCTGCACAGTCAGAAATCCATGTTTAACTTTTGATTCCCCAAAACTGAACCAGTGATAGCTGACTGGTGACTGGGAGCCTTACCGGGATGATGTCAAACGGTTGACTAATGTGTTTTGTGTGTGACATATATTCTATATTGTAGGCTTATAATAAGGCTAGAGAAACAATGTAATTGTAAAAACCGTAAGGGAAAGAACATTTACATGCTCTATGGTATTTATCAAAGAAGTCTATGTACAGGTGCACTTGGTGTAGTTCAAAACCGTGTTCAGGGGTCACCTGTATAATAAAGAGTGGACAGTGGGGGGGTACCTGGGGGGCTCAGTCGGTTAAGCATCGACTTCAGCTCAAGTCATGATCTCGTTGTTCTTGAGTTCGAGCCCTGCGTTGGGCTCTTTGCTGACAGCTCAGAGCCTGGAGCCTGCTTCGGATTCTGTGTCTCCCTCACTCTCTGCCCCTCCCCTGCTCACACATACTCTCAAAAATAAATAAAAATTAGAAAAAAAACAAAAGAAGAAAGTGGACTATGGGGACTTCTGTTATCACTTCACCTGATTTAGGCCACTTAACTGAATGTAACTGGGGCCAGAAAGTGAGGGGACAAGTTGAATGAGTCAAGCAAGACTTGCCAGAGGGCGTGGTGTGGCCCAGGTTCCAAGAGAGCATGTCCCTTGCAGCTGCCGCAGACCAGCCATTCGTGGTGGGAGGAGAGAACTTTCCCTGTAAGAGCACGGACAGGGGACAGCTCACCGAAGAGAAGAAACATTAATTGTTGCTGCTTTGCTTCTGTCACCCCATAGAGCAGCCGTCCAAACGCAGAAAGGTTGAGGGCAGCAGTTCTCCAGCTGGAGGAGCGCAGGACCGAGAGGCGGAAACGGGGCTCTTGGGGAAAAGCGTGCCTGTTGACGTGGACCCCCCCTCAAAGCAGAAGGAGAGGGCGGCCGCCCTGAAGAGGGATATGCCCAAGGTGCCCCACGACAGCAGCAAGGACAGCATCACCGTCTTTGTGAGCAACCTGCCCTATAGCATGGGCGAGCCGGAAGCGCAGCTCCGGCCGCTCTTTGAGGCCTGTGGGGAGGTGGCGGAGATCCGGCCCATCTTCAGCAACCGGGGCGATTTCCGAGGCTACTGCTACGTGGAGTTTAAAGAGGAGAAGTCGGCCCTGCAGGCGCTGGAGTTGGACCGGAAGAATGTAGAAGGGAGGCCGATGTTTGTTTCTCCCTGTGTGGATAAGAGCAAAAATCCTGATTTCAAGGTGGGTCTGTGCAAATCAACGCCTTCCTCGTTGGGTTGCTGTGGACAGACGGCAGCTTTTCTCCCAGAGCCGCTTGCATTTAGAGCCCGCGTGCAGTATGTGTAGTCGGTGAACTCGGGCATTAGCCGGGGTCTGTTCTGAGCTGGGTAGCTGAGGCCTGACTCCTGGCTTGGTCCCTTCGAGCCTGCGCTAGTTGACAAGTGATGAGAACACTAGGAGCTGTAACGGGCTGCTTGCCGCCGAATTCAGGAGCAGCAAGGGGCCGTGTGAGGTATTTAATGTGCTACCTCGTCGGCTGCTCGCCCACACTGGGAGAACAGCGGCTTTCCTTCTTGCCATGTTCCGGAGGAGGAAGTTAAGTGACTTGCTTGGAGGGATGCCATTAACACTTCACAGCACCCAGGGGTGCCTGGGGGGCTCAGTCAGTTGAGCATCAGACTTTGGCTCAGGTCATGATCCCGCTTGAGCCCCGTGTCAGTCTCTGCTGACAGCTCAGAGCCTGGAACCTGCGATTCTGTGTGTCCCTCTCTCTCTGCGCTTCCTCCTCCCTGTCTCTCTGCCCTTTCTCCCCACCCCCTCAAAAATTAATAAATAAACATTAAAAAAGCAATCAGTTCCTACAACTCAGGGCTGGCTCTGGTCCCCCGCTGGGTGGGGCTGTGGCCTGACTAGGGTGTGGTGTGCTGGGGTGGGCTGTGGGTGCTTAACTTTGTTTCCCTCCCTTCCTCCCGCAGGTGTTCAGGTACAGCACCGCCCTGGAGAAGCACAAGCTGTTCGTGTCGGGCCTGCCGTTCTCCTGCACTAAAGAGGAACTGGAAGAGCTCTGTAAGGCTCACGGCACTGTGAAGGGCATCAGGCTGGTTACCAACCGGGCGGGCAAACCGAAGGTCAGTGTCTGCGCACGTGGCGTTAGAGCCTCCCGAGGCTCGGGCACACCTGGCTCTCTGTTCAGGTGAACAGGTTGTGAGTGGGTTCCTAGTTTGTCTGCTGGGAAACAACAGGTTGACAGAGCGATAGGGACACTTGGTTCTACTTGCATTTGGAGTCCGATTAACTTGTTTCCAGCTAATTATACTAAAAAGAGTAGGGCACCGGGCACGGGGGGAGCCTGCCATGAATTAGCAGGGGCCTCAGCACAGACTTCCGGCTGTGAGGTGTGGGCGAGGTGCCCTTTTCCGGAGCGAGTGCCCTCCTGCCTGGGCTGGCCTCTTCCCTAGGCCTCCAGTCACCCCCTCCCATGTCTCCCCGAGACCCCATCATGTCCTCCCCTGAGCCCCCTTCGGTGCCTTACGAGATCCTTTTTGTGCACATTCTGAGTAGTTACTCAGGCGTGAGTTTGGATGACGGCTCGTTCCCCGGCCGTCCAGGTTGATGGAGGATTGAAGAGTATGGAGCAAGGACGGGCCAAGGCGCAGACCTGAGGGCCCACCCCGTGTCCAGCTGCCTCAGCCATTTGCTTTTGCTGGATTTATCCTGGTCCATCTGTCTGTTTCTGTCTTTCCTTCATTCTTCCTATCTTTTCTTTTTTTCTTTCTTTCCTTCCTCCCCCCCCTCCCCCGGAGCAAGCACAAGGTGTACCAGCCTCACAAAGGGTCTCTGAAGTTACAGTCGGTGGCAGAAACATAGAGGAGGAGTAGGGCCAGTAAATAAATCTGTAGACAAAGTGCAGTGGCGGTGGGGAAGGGGATCTGATGACGGGTGCCTGCCTGGTACCAGCTTCCAGACCCAAGGGAGGAAGTTGTGTCTGGCTGTGCAGCACCTGACCTGACCTGGCTTGAGCCCGCCTCTTTCAGGGCCTGGCCTACGTGGAGTATGAGAATGAATCTCAGGCGTCACAGGCCGTACTGAAGATGGATGGCATGACTATCAAAGAGAATGTCATCAAAGTGGCCATCAGCAATCCCCCTCAGAGGAAGGTTCCAGAGAAGCCAGAAGCAAGGAAAGCGCCAGGTGGTGCCATGGTGCCGCGGCAGATTTATGGAGCGTAAGTGCTTGCGGGATACTCAGCGCAGACTCTGTGCAGAGTCTGTGCTGGCCGCCACCATGGGGGATTCATTTCTGCTAGTGCAGCGGGCTGGGGCAGAGAGCCAGGGCCTGAGGGTACGGGGCTGCCCGCCGTGGCTCACCAGAGCAGGGTGTCCAGAGCACGTCCGCACAGAGCACAGGCCGGGGAGTGGAGCCCTTCCTGGTGTTCACAGTTTACACCTGTGATTTATTTGAGGTCAGTTGGTTTCTAGGCGGTGATTGTTTTATTTATTAAAACCAAATTTTTTTACTGTTTATTTTTGAGAGAGAGAGCATAAGCAGGGAAGGGGCAGAGAGACGGGGATACAGAATCTGAAGCAGGTTCCAGGCCCTGAGCTGTCAGCACAGAGCCCGATGCGGGGCTCAAACTCACAAACCATGAGACCATGACCCGAGCCGAAATCAGATGCTTAACCAACCAAGCCCCCCAAGTGCCCCAGGCAGTGGTTATTTTAAAGCCTCCTTTGGCAGCAGGATTCAGAAGCTCGCGGGGTTTGGGGGGGATTTGCAGCCCCAGCTACAGTCCTCTTAGAGAGGTGTTCAGCTGGTAGGAGTGAGACAGCAAGGCTGCGAGGTTAGTTGGTGAAGTCTGAAGGAGGGCAGCGTCTTTATCGCCCCTACTTGTAACTGCCCTGCACTGGGTTGGTCTTTGCCGAAATCGTGGAAGGGGCTTGTTAAACTGGTTTTCGCCAGTTCATCCATGTCCAGGAGAACGGGGATCACCTTCACCTTTCTGGTTTTTACCTTTTGCCTCTTGACTTGTGCTTTACACGTTCAGAGAAACTTGTCTGGTAACAAAGTACAGAAGTGACCCTTGAAAGTACATTCTTCACCTTTTAGCCGTGGGTGATTTAAGACCATCCTGGCTCATTTTCACAAGTAAAGGAGGGGCCTCGAATTGTTGCTTGGGAAGGGTACATCCAGTGTTTGCTCTTCCAGGCGGGGGAAGGGAAGAACGCAGCTCTCCCTGCTGCCTCGTGCCCTGCAGCGCCCAGGCGCCCCGGCTGCCAAGGCCGAGAATGGCCCCGCCCCTCGGCCTGCGGCCACCACCTCAGCAGCCACCGAGGCGCCCAAGATGTCCAATGCCGATTTTGCCAAGCTGCTTCTGAGAAAGTGACCGGGACTGTGGAGACGGGAAATGCCTTACTTCATGCTGGCCAGGAAGACTGCCCGGCACCGGGCGGAACTCTGGGTATGGAGGGGCCTGGGGCAGCACCCCTCTTACATATTTTCCTCTGGGTTAGACAGAAAGGGGTGAGGGTGTCCAAGGAAAGAGGCTTGAAGCGCTCCCTCATATTGAGGGCAATAGGAGGAAAATGATCACTCCATGGTTGGGTCCAGGGTGTCGTTTCCGAAGATATTTTTGTGTCCTACAGAGTGAGGAACAGAAGTGAAACTCAAACACCGTTTTGAGACCCACGTGTCCAAATGTTTTCAGCCAGCTCCGGCCCCCTTTTATGACACTCCTCTTACACCCTGCACGGCACACATGCCCGTCACTCTTTTAATTTTAAAAGACAAAATGGCAGATGCTAGTAATTCACCAGAATGGCCTATTTTAGTAAAGGGGTGGTGGGGCAAGGGGAAGTCACCTAAAAAAATTTGATGGATTTTTGTTCAAGGGGGCTGGGCGCGTTTTTATATTATGTATTTGTAAACGACACATCAACCGCTGTTTTACGTTTCCTAAAAACAAAGTCTTTGTGACATTTGTTTTGTCTGGGAGTTCTGTCTGCCACCTGCCGTGGACCATTTTCTTTGCCCAGTGACGAGTGAGCCGCGTTCTCTGTCCAAATGTTGCGTTTCAGCCCTTTGGTTTTGTTTAAATGCCATGTCAAGTGCAAACTTAAATTCTCCCCACTTAGCTTTGTTTATTAAACTGAAGTTCTCTTAAAAACTTCTTGCTGAATGGTGCTCAGATGTGCATTCAGAGCTGGACGTGTTTTGAAATGCGTGCACTTGGCGTTCCCTAACGGATGTGTGAATAGAACTTTTGTAAGTCCAGTCCTGTTGTCCCTTTGATTTAAGTCCTTTCAGTTGTGATGGGTCTTCAGGTTTAAGTTTTACTTGGCAGCATTGTGGCACTGCAGCTTTTAAGCTTTTTTTTTTTTTTTTTTAACCTTTCCTCTTTTATCAAATATTCATTGCTTCAAAAGCAGCATTGCTGGTTCAGTAGGGAAATGGACTTTGTAAAGACTCTGGGGGAAGAAATCAGGAAATGCTTTCATGTGTGATGGAAATCGACCCACTTCTCTGGTTTTTAAGTTTCTGTGCATCAGGCTTATGGAAAACTGTAAGCATTCTACAACAGTGTAGACTGAAGAGCAAAAGGAAATCCTTATGTGCCTGTCATTGAGCCTCAGCATTTCCCATCTAGCACATGGGCCTTCATCTCTGCCCCCACCTCCCCGTAACGGACATCACGCACTCCCAGTAACAGCGGATCACCTGCCTCTAAGAGATAAAGACCTAAAGGGCACAGTTTTGTCATCATCACTAGAAACATGAGCAGTAATGCCCCCATGTCCTTAACTATCCATATTGCCAGTTTCCTCTTGTTTTCTAAATGCCTCCCCCCATGCCCAGTAAATTAGGATCAGTTGGTAAACCTCCTAAGGTTTTTAATCTGAAGGTTCCCATCTACCTTGTCTTTGTTTTGCACAAAACATTTTTTGTTAGGTGTTACTTCTGAATTAAATTCCAGTAGTGGCTATTGGAAGCAGCCAGAAGGACGGGTGCTGTATGGTGGTTCTGCCTGTGTTCTCCGGAGCAGCCACTCACCCTCCCGCAGGAGCCTGTTCGCCGGGTGAGAGGGCTGGGGACACTTGGGGACTGCAGCTGAGGAGTCACGAGTATGCCTTTCCCAGTCCAGGCTAATGTGGCTCTACTCCCGCGACTTCCCACCTCTGTCCTGTTCTCTTGCTGTGGGCCAGTCTGCTGCCCTCACTTTGTGCTTTCACATGTCAACATAGGCTCATCACATAGCTGAACCTCTTCAGACTGCAGCCCAGGGTGTTGACGGTTGTAGAATTGGACTGTCGGGAACATGCAAGTGGGTGTATGTGTTTTCCCCAGGAAATGGAGAACTGATGGCAAATAGGAACATGAAGTCCCCTGAGGTTTCTTGAGTGTTAGTGAGAGATCGGTAACTCTCCCCCTGCCCGTACAGGAGCTGGCTTACCCAGGGAGCTGTCTCCTCTTCCTGCTGAATTACCGTCGGGGACCAGTTCTCTGCCATAGTAATCTAAATGGGGCTTCATGTTCTGAAAGAACCCCTCCTTCATCCTTGTGACAAATGGGAACAGCCCTTGAGTAAGAAGACAGCCAGGTTTCAGGCCTTTATATAATAAAATACTTTATTAGAGTCAGTAATCTGTGAAAATAACATCCTTCACAGCAGAGCTAAAGTGCACGTGTCTCTAGCCCAGGCGCGCCCTGCTGTGGGGCTTCCTTGGCAGGCCTAGAAAATCCAGATGACAGAAGAGTTCAGGCCGAAAGCTAGTTTGTGGCAGCAAATGAGGGTGAAAGATTTTTTATAAAGGTTTGACTATCGCTCGGGGCCACTTCATACAACTTTTTCCTAATCCTTCAGAAAGCTACCCTGTGCTCATTACACAGTTAAATAACTACACAAACACCTGCTACCTCAGAATAGTGACCTCCTTACTGTCAGGGCGAGACTTCTCAAGCCAGAGGCCACGCTTTCTACGTATTCACCAGCATTCGGACCCTGACAGACTGCACTATGGTGTCAGACGTCCTGGGCTCCGCCACTGGGAGGGGGGACCTGCGGCCCTTAGACCCTGAGGAGCACAGCAGCGGTCATATTGGCACCTCTGCTGTTTATTATCGATGGAGAAGATTCTTCTTCCATAGAAGGACGCCTTGGAAAATTGGCTGTACAATACATCTTATTATTTCACAAGTTCCTAGAAAAATAAGGCCACTCGAAGGCAATCTCTTTTGCTCCCCAAGGGGACGCTGGACAGGACAATGGCTGTGAGGGATGAGGGTCAGGTGAGTAAGTGGGTAAAACTGCATGACAAAAGAGACCCATCTGACTACTACGGTTAAGGGTTTTTCCTTGGTTCAGGGTGGGTTCTTCCTTGGTTCGGTAGAAACTCCAGTTCATTATCAAAAATATGTATTTGAGTTGATGTGGCATCTGCTTTCTCAGATGTATCCTTGAGCCTCTGCCTACACAAGATGCTACACTCAGAGTCAGACTTGGCCACGTGCACGACACCTATGACACAGCTGAGTGACAAACTCAGAACTTCTAGAGTAAAACCTTTGGTCTGAGTGGCTGCAAATGAAGTGTGAGAAACATTCACACAGGAAACCAAGCTGGCCACTCCCCTATTCTAAATTAGAAAAATAGTCTTGGTAGGGAAAAATAACGGCCTCTGGGACTGCAGTTTGCAAGCCACCTGGGACTCCTTGAAATAAGCAAGGTATCTAACTAGAAATGTTGTCAACATTAATTATTTCGTATCTCAAGAGTCTGCCCTACTAGTGAGAATTAGTCACCATGCTACTCTCTTCGTAGGGGGAGCAAAACTCTGTCAGAAAGAAAGCTTCTGTTATTTCTCAAAACCGGGGCCAGGTTCGCCCCAAGAGAGCTGACCTCGCAGGGAAGTCACAGAGCCTCTCAGCCAGTTTCATAGAAACACTTGGAGGAGTTAGTCCTGTGGCCCCAAACCTCATTCCACACTCCCGGCCTCTCCCCACCCGTGTGCAAATTCTGCTCCAGAACCTGTGTTCTGGTCACACAAAGAGCATTGGTGTCCCCGAGCCTACTGGGGTGACCAGCACGGCCAGCGGACACCACACAACATTGACTAGCTCAAAAGAAAATAAATAACTTGGACTGAATTATAAGTTACCTTAAAGATAGGGCTTAATAATTTAGTTTTTTTCTTTTTAACTAAAACATTTGGAGGTAAAGAATGCTTAAGTTCCCGATCCATCTCCTTGTGCTTTGGGAGACGGCTAGGTTTCCAGAAATGCTAAGTCCCCCCGGGACATCCCTTGGCACCAGGGGAGGCGCCCCAGGGGTTAGGGCTTCACAGGCAGGGTCTCCTTAAACCCGGAGTAGTTGGGCTTGGCCTCTGGCAGCGCCACCGGGTACTCGGTTGTGGCAAAGAGCAGGGTGTCCAGGGTGGTCTCTGTACACTTGGCAATGAAGCGGATGAACGGCCTCACGTCGCCTTCGTTGGCAACTTCCAGCACGTGGTAGTACTCGGACCTCTGCTCCTTGCGGATGGTGATGGGGGGGTAGCCTGCCTGCATCAGAATGAGGTTCATCAGCAGGCGCGAGGTCCTGCCGTTGCCGTCAACAAAAGGGTGGATGTAAACCAGTTTGTAATGGGCCAGGGCCGCAAACTCCACCGGGTGCAGGTTCATGGCATCCTCGGAGTTGAGCCACTGTATGAACTCCTCCATCTGCTTTTCCACATCTTGAGGATGGGGAGGGATGTGGTGACCCACGAGGACCTGTGTCGTCCGAAACCTGCCAGCTTCCACCGGATCCACATAACCCAGCACCCGCCTGTGGATCTCCAGCACGTCGCCGATGGCCACAGACCCAATGCGGGACACCAGTGTGGTGTTGATGTATGTCATGGCCGCGTGCATGCCGATGACCTCGTTCTGCTCCTCCAGGCTTTTCCCCGGCACGGCATAGCGGGTCTCGAGGATGTGCCTGATTTCCGAGAGGGTGAGGGTGTTGCCCTCGATCGCGACTGTGTGGTAGATGTGATGGTAGTAGGTTTCCTCCATGACCCTGCGTAGCGCGGAGTTGCCCTTGGGGATGGACATGACCTTCTTCACTTTGCTGTCGATGATGCTGAAATACCTCTGGTCGATCTCCTCCACCAGCGGCAGCGTCCGGTCCCGGTTGACCAGCGCTTTCTCGTGGTAGGGCGAGATGGTCAGCGCTCGGGTGTACAAGTAGTCTGCCTGGATGATGTCTTTGTCCTCTTCGGAAAAGATGCCGAACTCGGTGAGTGCGTCTACGAAGTCTGGGTCCATTTTGAGGGCGTGCAGGAAGAGCTTATGGGCTTTCTCCCGCTTGCCCTGGCGTTTCATCTCCAGGGCTTGGTTCAGAGCTGCTCTGGCCTCCAACTTCCCAGCTAGAAAAGAGCCAAAGAAGCACTGGCAGGGGAGGGAGGGCACGGGATGTCTGGGGGGAGCTGTCCCCTGTGCCGGCGCCTTAGGGGGCTCGTTCCAGCACGCTCCGTGTGTGGATGCGTTTGTGCCCCACAGCTGGTGTTCGTCTGTGTGTCCCCAGAGCCACTCTCTCTACCCTGGGAGGCATCATCTGGCCTCCACAGCCCTCAGCTTTCTGAGTGCCGAAGTGAGTGGCTGTGGCCACAACTCCTGTCAGGTGGCCCTCCTGTGTGATCTTCTCGGCTCCCTGCTGTCCTGGACCAGTCCTGGTGATGCCAGTCCCTGCCCCTCTCCATTCAGGCCTACCCTACCCCTGGGCTGTTCTTTAAATCTTTCAACCCAGTGGTTCTTAAGCAGGGGTGATTTTGACCCTCAGAGGACATCCAGCAGTGTCCGGGACACAGTGAGCTGTCACAGTCAAGGGGGTGGGGGTGCTGCTGGCATCCAGTGGGTAGAGACCAGGGATGCTGCTTGACCCCCTACAAGGCACCACAGAGGACGGTGAGGGGGAGGGGGAGAAGCTTCCTCAGATCTAGCCCTCCCTCACCAGCCCCTCCACCCACTGCTGAGTGTCAGGCACACATGCCCAAGCGCTATAACCCTCTGGTCTCTGCCTGGCACACCTTCCCCTCATGCCTTTTCCTTTAGGTCATTTTCCTATTTACACCGGGGTCTCAGCTCAGGCATCCCCTCCAGGGAGCCTTCCTGGTGTGCACCCTGCTTCCCCATCACCAGGTTGGTGATGCTGTATGGCAGTCATCTGTCAGCTTGTCTGAGCTGGGAGCTGAGAGCAGACTTGGTCCCCATAATGCCCCATGTGTCCTGCACACAGGACACAGTAGGCTCTGTAAGTATCTATCAAATTAACAAGCGTTGAGGAGAGCTGGCCAGTGTGTCTTACCTGGAGAGGCCTTGGTCTTGACCACCAGTGGTGCCGCATCGGTGGCGGTGACACTGAGCTCTGTGGACGGGCTGGTACACTTGGTGACGGCATGCTGCACCCTGTCCAGCTTGTTCCTGAGCAGGTAGAAGCCTTTGAGCACCGTCAAACACTGCTCTTCGATGGGCCCCAGCGGCAGCAGCAGCGCCAGCAGGGACCCCAGCACCATGCTCAGCAGCAGGACCCACAGGAAGCGGCCCCACACGGAGACCCACTTGGGTTCAGTCACCGCCATCACTGAAGCCATCGGCATGAGTGTCATCTGGACTCAGGGGCAGGCCCCTTGGGCATACTCAATTGCCTGAGAGCAGGATCTGCAGGGGACCAAGAGTTGCAGGAGATGAGGTGGGGGAAGGGGACACATGCAAGATGCACTGCGGACTTCAGCTGGGGCTTGGAGGCCCCCACACCTCTTACTTCACTATGACCAGGGGGTAGGGGCAAGGCAGGATGTGGCCGTAAATGAGGAGGGGCCAGCCTGAAGGACAAGTGCCACTTCCAAGGCGTTGGGACTCTGAGCTACTGCCACCGCACTCAACATTAATTGAGCACTTACTGTGCCAGGCCCCATGCTAAGCACCAAGGACCTCATGCATACTGTCTCTTGCAGTCTGCAACAGGAGCTGATGCTATCGTCATCCCACTTTTCCAGATGAGGAAACAGGCTCAGAGATGAAGCCCCTTGCCCCAGGTCAGCCAGTGAGTAAGTGACAGCCTTAGGACTTGAATTCAGGAACTCTCCCCCAAGCCCCCTTGACCACAGATCTCTGGGGCCTATTCTCTGATACACACAACTGCTTTCGTGGCCTGTTATACTGCCTCTTCGTGCCCTAACCCTGGTATTGGCCACAGTGCTGCTCCTCTCTCTGGCCTTCCTTTCCCGGCCTGCCCAGCAAGGACTCACCTAGAGCTTGGGCAGTCCAAGCATCTCAGAAACACCAGCTGTGGGCCAGAGTGGGTGACCGACCCCTCACCCTCCATCATGACAGCGGGCATGTGTTTGGGGCTGGCAGTGGAGGTAGTGGGGTCAGGTATGCAAGCACCATTATGTTAAGAATAAATAGTATTTATTGGGCAACTATGGTGTACTGAGCACTGGGCTGAGGGCTAGCCACGTATTATCTCACTTAATCCTTAACACCCTATGAAGGAAAGGAAACTAAAACTGAGAGTCAATTTCTAGAAGGCCACGGGAGTAAACAGAAGCATGAAGAACAAATTATCAGTGCATCTAGGAAGAGGGCTCAGGTCTTAACCTCTAACTTCTTCTCAGCCAAGGCCCATGCACCCCTACTCCGGCCTGCTCCTGGTGCTGGGCCTCCAAGACCCAGAAATGACTGATGAGGTTTCTGATCGCTCAGGGTTTAGAATCTAATGGGGGAAACCTGGCTCGTTGATACATCTGAAATGGCTTGGTCTGCGCTCTAACCGGGGTACGCTTGGCGTGCCGTAGGGGTTTAGAGGAGAATGTGAGTCACTGCTTCAGGTGCTTTGTGCGGCTCCCGGAGGGACGGGATCCACGGCAGGGCTGGAGTTCGCCAGGGACGCGGGTCCGCGCAGAGGAGGCAGGAGATGCGAATCTCTCACCCCTCACTACCTGAGGAAGGGGGAATCTGACGCCCAGAAGGGCTGGGCTATAGTCCCTCTGAACCCCGCCCAGGGCTCACTCCCCCACCGCCCCTTGCCCAGCTGGCTCTTTCCGAGCCCCTTGGGCTCGCCCCCTCCTACCGCGTGCGGCTTCCCGACACTGCAGCCTCCTTCCAGGCACTCGGAGGCCCCCGCAGCAGCCGGCTTCCAGGCCCTGCTCCGCCACCGGCTTTCTGGCCCCGCCTCCGGCGGCTCGCCATTGGGTGGTTCCCCATTCTCGTCGTGGCGGATTGGCTCCCTCAACTTGTCCGCCCCTCGGACTTCCGGGTTTTCGCGTCAGCGTCTGCTTCCCGGGGAAAGACGCGCCGTGGGCCACTCCCATTGGCTGGTTCCTGTATTGGTCTCGTGCCCGAAGCAGCCAATAAGCAACAGGCGGGGCGGTGCCCGGGCGACAGGCGGGAGTAGCGTGCGGAAAACCCGCGCGGGCGGAGATCTGGGGGCGTGATAGATGCCGTGGCCGGAAACTGGCGATTCCGTTTCCCCGCGAGTGCTGTGCTTCTCGCTTCTCGCCCCGGGGCCCTTCTCCTGGGCCTCCGTTTCCTTAGGTGTAAAGTGAGGATGCCCACCACCCTGTTAGTCTGCCTTCACAGCCTCTTGTTCTTAGCCGCGACGCTGTAGTACCAGGGTTGCGTCGTTCCCCTTTCTGACCTTCTCCTTCCCTTTTCCTTCCTGACTTTTTAATTTCTCATCCACTCGAGAAGGAACTGGCTGGTTTATATAGATTACCATGGAGATAGAGATTTTTCTTGAAGAAGACAGCCGAAACCTCCATCTTAGTTCACAAATCTTGAAACTAAACACCCAGGACGTGCTCAGAAATGCTAAGCATTAAGACGTTAGCCGTATAGACTGGAGCCAGAGAGACTCCGGTTTAAGTTCTGACTTTGTCACCTCCGCTCTGTGAGACCTTGGGCAAGTTACTCTGAGCTTCAGTTTTTCCATTTGTAAAATGGAGACAAACTGCCTGCCCCACCTTTGGCCCCAAGTTCAGGATTTGCAGGCTAGACTCTTCAAGATCTGACCTCTTTTCTTGACACACATTCCCCTTGGGAGCCACTATCAGGCAGTGGTTGTGGGCGTTCCCACTGGAAGCCACACAGCCCTGGGTTCTAAGACCAGCTCTGCCCCTTGAAAAGTGAGTCACATTCAGCAAGTGACTTGATCTATTTCACGGGTTCCATTTGCTTTTCAGTAAAATGAGGACAGTGTGATGACAAAACTTCCTCATAGGGTTTTGTGTGAGGGCGAAGTGAGATCCTACATGTCTGGCACGAAGCTAACATTTGCTAAGTATCCACTGTCGCAGTTTTTCCTAGACAAGACACAGAGTCACTGCTGTTGTTATTCACAGAAGAAACTGTCAGAACTGCAGGCTGCTCCAGCCACTGGGGAGTGACTCCGGGTCCTTTCTTAGGTCTCAGCCTCATCCAGTTTAGGGAAGCCACTGACCTACAGCACAAAAGGAAAGGAAGTGTCCAAACCCAGGCCAGAGGTGTGCTGTCACGAAAGACACCATGGGTGGGAGGGGATTGCAAGGTGAGGGACCAAACAGCTTTGATCCTTCTTGGCTGTGCTTCCATTTATATCTGGTAACTGTTCCCCTGTTCCCCTGGCTCCCAGCCCTTGGCATGGAGAATGGCACATAGTAAATGTGAAATTTTGTTGACTCAAATAAGAGATATCTGAAGCAGGAAAACCCATGAGGTTAAGAAACAAAAAGTCAAGATGGTGGTTATTTCTGGGGTTTCTTGTTTCTATCTTTTTTTCCTCTCTCTTTTAAGTGTATTTTGAAAGAGTGTGAGCAGGGGACGGGCGGAGAGAGAGGGAGACAAGAATCCCAAGCAGGCTCCACGCTTAGTGCAGAGCCTGACATGGGGCTCGATCCCACGACAGTGAGATCATGATCTGAACTGAGATCAAGAGTCAGTCGCTCAACTGACCGAGCCACCCAGGGCCCCATCTTGTTTCTGTCTTTTGGGCAAAGGTCTTGAACACTGTCTTGAAGTCCCCTGAATTTTCACTTCTGACGGCTCGCATAGTGATGCTTTAAAAATGTTCCCCAGAGGAGGGCCTGCCTGCCAGTGAAATTATGGAGTGAAACCAGTGAATTATGGGGGACGGTCAGTGGAAGGGAAAGCAGTGAGGCTCAGGGGTCAGACAGAAAATGTGTTCAAATGCAGGACCTACCTCTTATTAGCTGTGTGACCTGGAGTCAGTCACTTACCTCACTGAGGTTCATGGGGCTTATGGACTTCTGTCCCCTCCCAGGCATAAGATGCCATCATCATCTGCTTTTATTTTATTTATTTTAATTTATTTCTAGGAGAGAGAGACAGCGTGAGCAGGGGAGGGTCAGAGAGAGAGGGAGATACAGACTCTGAAATAGGCTCCAGGCTCTGAGCTGGCAGTCAGCACAGAGCCCGACGCGGGGCTCGAACCCACGAACCGCGAGATCATGACCTAAGCAAAAGTCAGACACTTAACCGACTAAGCCACCCAGGCGCCCCATCATCATCTGCTTTTAAAGGCACTGTCCGCTTTCCTCATCTTCAGGCACCAGAGTAACCTCTGTAATGAGCTTAGACCCTGGCTAGCAAACCCAGAAGCTACAATAGAACCATCAATGAGTAAAATTGCCTGGGCACGAGACGTAGGGGGAGGTGGGGAGTGTGAAGAAGGTGAGAGCGCCTGCCTCATCCAAAGTGGGTAACAGCTAATCCGCTCTCGCCTACGTTTATTGTGTGAAAAATGTATTATGTCCAAAAGTTGACAGATTTTCTAATTTTTCAAAAGAAATGTCAGGCCTACATCTTTAAGCAAACCCTCTAGAATTTTTAACAGTTGGCATCTCTGCCCACCGGCTATGGAGGGCTGCCAGACTGTAATCCCTGTTTTAGGCTTTTAAAATGGGCACAACATGGCTAGGAACACAGGAAGCACCATCCCAAATGCTGCTCAACCAAGGAGTGCACCACTGTCTGTGACCACCAGGGGACAGTAATTCACCGAGCATCACGTCCCCTATTCACTCTGTCTGGAGATCACACTCAATTTTCTTGACTTTGTCTGCATTCAGCTGTGTTGAATGCACAAAATATGGTCCCTGAAGCGAGATTGAAAACTTGGCTTTCTCCACCTTAGGCGTTCTATATTGGGTGGAAATGGCTTCCTCGTGGCTCATGGAGGAGTTTTCTAAGAGCTTACCTTGACACTTGACAAAGAACCTGGAAAGTGGCTGCTTGGGAAATGTGTCTATTATGCAAAACAAAACAAAACAAACCCTTATGCATCTTTAAGAAACAGCAGTCAAGCGCTTCTTGCTGTCAGAGCTGGATTCTATTGCTTCGGAAACACAAAACTCCCCAACTTGAGGCTATATATTGCATTGAGATGGCTCCGGAATGACTCAACCTCATTTAAAAGAAAATACACCATACTGGTTCTCTCTCCCCCAAAGCCCAGGTTCTTCTCATTTTCCAGCCTGCTCGGATTTGTTTTGTTTTGTTTTGTTTTTTAAACTCTCTCCTAACTTAGAGCTGCTGCAGAAGAGACCCCCAGCAACCCTTCTCCCTGACTGCAGGTACCCTCAGTTTGCATCCCAGTGGGGTCTTGGTGGGGGCATCCACAGGACACAGGGTTCGGGGTAGGTGTCCTTGGGCTGATGGCTCATGCTTGGGATTCAGGATGATCTCGGACCTGCAAATAAGTATTGTTTTCAGAGCAAGTCACTTGGGGGAAGTGGTATTTCTTACTTTCAAAAAATTAAACCACAACTGCTTCCTTTTCTCATTAAATAACCAAAATACCCAACTACATACTTTATTTCTTCTTCTTTTTTTTAAATTGACATGTGGCTGGCATACAGTATTATGTTCATTTCAGGTGTACGACATAGTGATTTGACAATTCTGTATATCACTCAGTGCTTACCATGAAGAGTATAGTTACTGCCCGTCACTTTAAAATGTTATCACAACCACTTTATTTCCTTAAAGCAAAATGGGACCACAGATATAATAGAGGGCGCAAATAAACAATAGGAAGAAAAAAATCCTGTGCACAATTGTACTAGATATTTTTATGCACGTCTATTTTTAAATCATGAAATATTTCAGACATCCATAAGGCATGGGTAGTAAAATGGCTCCCTGTGTGTCTGCCCCCCTCCCCCATCCAGTGTAAGAAATATCATATTCTATTACCAATGCACTGAAGCCCCAGGCACCCTCTCCTCTGTCACCTTTCACTCCCGGAGATAATCACCATCTTGAATTTGTTGCTTATTACATCCGTGCATGGCCTCTTGTTTTTACCCATAGGTAAATATTCCTAAATAATACATAGTAATGTTCTGCGTGCTTTTACATGTTATATGTATGCTTTGTATCGTTCTGCCTTTTTGTTTGTTTGTTTGTTTGGCATTAGTTTTTAGAGATTCATATTCATATTGATACATGGAGTTCTGGTTCATTAATGGTACACCACTGTGTACTCTTCCACCCAAGAATTTATTTCCCATTTACCTATTGACAGGCATTTGGATTATTTCCAGTCCTTCTCTGTTACAAGCAACATGTCAGTGATATTCTTGTATGACTTTTTGTTGTATGTCTGGAAGTTTCTCTAAGGCAGATCTTCTCAACGAATCATCTGGGGCGCTTTTAAAAAAGCACCCTATACCTGGGCCTGCTCTAGGCCAATGAAGTCCTCCAACCTTTCTGATCCTCCTGTATTGTGGCTGTAAGTGAAAATAATTGTACCGGTCACACTGCCTCATTATTGGTAGTGGTAACCACTAGTTATTAAGCACTTATTGTGTACGAAGTAATTTATGTGTATTATTTTATTGGGTTTTTGTAACAATGCCATGACATAGAGATCATTAAACCCACTTTACAGAAGGTAAAACTGAGGCTCATAGAAGCTAAGGAATTAATCTGAGTTACCCAGTAAGTAAGTGGCAGAGTCAGGAGCTTGTGGTTTTAACCACTGAGAGACTATGATTTCAGAGCTGACAGGTTATGCTGCAGCTCTTCAGTTTTACAGGTGGAGAAACTGAAGCAGATGGAGTGCAAGGGCAAAGCCAGGACACAAATCCAAGTCCATAGACTCTCTCTGTATTCCTCAACACATAACTTTCTTTTGTTAAAGTACTTTGACGAAGGGAAC